ACACAGGGGCTTTTACACAAAGAAGTCCTTACACAAAGGAGCTTTTTACACACAGAAGGTTTTACACAGAGAAGTCTTTACCCTAAGGAGCTTTTGCACACAAACGTCTAGGAGCTTTTTCACACAAAACTTTTTACACGAAGAAGGCCTGACAGAGAGGGTTTTTACACACAGACGTGTTTGCACACAGAAGCTTTTTTTACACAGAGAAGCCTTTACACAGAGGAGCTTTTACACACAAAAGCATTTACACACACAGGGGCTTTTACACAGAGAAGTCTTTACACAAAGGAGCTTTTTACACACAGAAGGTTTTACACAGAGAAGTCTTTACTCCAAGGAGCTTTTGCACACAAACGTCTAGGAGCCTTTACACACAGAAGCTGTTACACAAAGAAGTCTTTACACAGATATATAGCTTTCACACACAGACGCGTTTACACACAGAGGCTTTTACACAGAGAAGCCTTTACACTTTACACAGAGAGTTTTTACACACCGAAGCTTTTACACACAGTGAAATCTTTACACAGACATTTCACACAGAGAAGCTTTCACACATAGAAGCTTTTACACAAAGAAGTCTTTACACAAAGTGGTTTTTACACACAGAAACTTTTACACAGAGAAGTCTTTGCACAGAGGCGTCTTGACATGAAGTCACAAGTTGAAATTGGCAGCAGTTCTTCGGGAAAAACCCTTGGCAGGAGCTTTCGGGCACTCACTTGCTCCCCAAAAAAGCCGTCTATTTCCAACAAAGTTCCTGTTCTTTTTTTTTTTCAAAAAACGTAAGGAATATATTTCTGAAGCAGGTCCCCATCCAAAAGCTTTCCAGCCCCCACACTGCGATGAAATGGAGGGCCGAGAAATCCGGCGGAGCCGACGAGGGGCGTTAGCCCATAAATCCGGCCAGGGGCCCCCTGGCCGTGGCATAGCCGTACGGCGTTTCTCTCCTCTCCGTAGGAGAGAGGGGCCGCCGCCCCAGCCGCCGACCACTCATTTTTCGGATCTTGTGGTTTAAGATGGGTCAACATGGGCCAACATAGGCCGCAAGATGGGCCAACATAGCCCCAAGATGGGCCAACCTAGCGCCCAAGATGGGCCAAGATAGCCCCAAGATGGGTCATCATAGCTCCAAGATGGGCCAACATAGCCCCAAGATGGGCCAACATAGCCCCAACATGGGCCGACATAGCCCCAAGATGGGCCAACATAGCCCCAAGATAGGCCGCCGACCCTCAAAATATCCTGCGTTTTACAGTGTTTTTTTGCTGTTCCCATTTTTCGGATCTTTTGGCTCCGCACGGGTCAACATGGGCCAACATAGGCCTCAAGATCGGCCGACAAAGGCCTCAAGATCGGCCCACATAGCCTTCAAGATAGGCCAACATAGCCCCAAGCTGGGTCAACATAGCTCCAAGCTGAGCCCACATTGCCCGCAAGATAGGCCAACATAGGCCAACAGATGGGCCAACATAGTTGGGCCCCTGCCCCTGACCTCGCGGTGGGGTGCGCGTGTCGACAGAAACCCCTGTAATTTACAGTGTTTTTTGGCCCTGTGACATTCAACATGTTTTTGCACTAACATCGCGCACGATCGCCCAACATAGCCCCAAGATGCCCCAACATAGCCCCAAGATGCCTCAACATCGGCCCACGATGGCCCCAACATAGGCGAACATTGCCCCAAGATGGGCGCAACATGGGCCCAAGATGGGCTAACATAGGCCCAAGATGAGCAAACATAGCCCCAAGATGGGCGCAACATGGGCCCAAAGATGGGCTAACATCGGACCAAGATGGCACAAAATGGGCCCAACAACCAACAACCAACAACCAACCACCAACCACCAACCACCAACAACCAACCAGCCACCAACAACCAACAACCACAACAACGACCACAACCACAACCACAACCACCGCAACAACAACAACAACAACAACAACAAGAAGAAGCAGGTCAACATAGTTGGGCCCCTGGCCGGCTGTCGCGCGTAAGCGCTTAAATTCGGCTCCGCCGGCTCCACACGAGTGGCTTGCCCTACGAGCGTCCCAGAGCGACTAGAGCTCTATGGTGAGGCGCGCCCCAAACCGCCGACCCTCCGACGGCGGGCCCCGAAAAACACCAAAAATCCTTCAGGAGGGTGGGGGAGAGCTTTTTGGCCGGAATCCGGGTCGCTCATAAGCGTCTCCAAGAGCATTCCCCCCTCCCCCCGTTTGGAGGGTACCTAAAATCGGAAAAAAGTGCCGTTTTGACACATTTTTCGGACGATTTTTCGCTTTTCGAAATGGACAAAATGCTGTAAATTACAGCATTTTTGCGTTTTAACGTCTTTTGCGGGAGCAATGCAAAAACGCAGAAAATGCTGTAAATTTAAATACCAATACTTTTTAGACCGGAGATGCACAAAACACTGCAAATACCAGTGTTTTTGAAAGCAAAGCACAAAAACACTGTAAATTACAGCATTTTTGGCAAGTTGATCGCAAAAAATGCTGGTATTTACACTGTTTTTGCAATTTCAAGAAAACGTGGAAGGCACGAAACACTGTAAATAGTGGTGTTTTAGCCACTTTTGGACGCTGAAACGCTGGTATTTACACAGTTTTTTGCCCGTGACGGCGCCAAACCCCTGTAAATTACAGCATTTTTTGCACTTTTTGAACCGATTTTTTGCCTTGATGAACGCAAAAAACGCTGGTATTTACGCGTTTCCCAAAAAATCGAAGATCGTGACGTGAACGAAACCCTGTAAATAACAGTGTTTTAGCCTCTTTGGGGGACTAAAACTGTGGTATTTACGCGGGTTCTTGCCAGCTGACAGCGCAATATGCTGTAAATTACAGCACTTTGTGCGCTGTTTATGTTCAATTTTTAAACGCGCGATGCTTTCACATGTTCTTTGCATTATTTTGCACTCTTCCACAAAAAACAACGTTGCAGATTGAAACTGGACGACAGCGTGACCCGAAAGAAAGCTGGAGGGAGGAGACGCAAAGAAGCTTTTACCCACACACACAGGGGCTTTTACACAGAGAAGTCTTTACACAAAGGAGCTTTTTACATACAGAAGGTTTTACACAGAGAAGTCTTTACTCTAAGGTGCTTTTGCAGACAAGCGTCTAGGAGCTTTTACTCACAGAAGTTTTTACACGAAGAAGTCTTTACACAGAGGGCTTTTTACACACAGACGCGTTTGCACACAGAAGCTTTTACACAGAGAAGCCTTTACACAGAGGAGCGTTTACACACCAAAGAGTTTACACACAGCAAGCTTTTACACACGCAGGGGCTTTTACACAGAGAAGCCTTTACACAGAGTAGCTTTTTACACACAGAAGGTTTTACACAGAGAAGTCTTTCCTCTGAGGAGCTTTTTCACACAAATGTCTTGGAGCTTTTACACACAAAAGCTGTTACACAAAGAAGTCTTTACACAGAGAGCTTTAACACACAGACGCGTTTACAAACAGAAACTTTTACACAGAGAAGCCTTTACACAGAGAGTTTTTACACACTCGGAAGCTTTTACACACAGAGAAATCTTTACACAGACGTGCTTTCACACAGAGAAGCTTTTACACAAAGAAGTCTTTACACAGAGAATCTTTTACACACGGAAACTTTTACACACAAAAGCTTTTACACAGAGAAGTCTTTGCACAGAGGTGCCTTTACACGAAGTAACAAGTTGAAATCGGCAGCAGTTCTTTAGGAAAAACCCTTCGCAGGAGCTTTCGGGAACTCACTTGCTCCCCAAAAAATCGTCTATTCCAACAAATATGTTCCAAAAAACCTAAGGAATATATTTCTGAAGCAGGTCCTCATTCAGTAACTTTCACGCCCACACTGCGATGAAATGGAGGGCCGAGTGGTCCGGCGGAGCCGACGAGGGGCGTCAGCCCAAAAATCCGGCGACGCCTCGCCGTGTAGTGTGGGGAAGCTAAGCATAGCTTTAGCTACCCGGGGGCGCGCCCCTGCCGCCGACCCTCCCCAAAAATCCTTTAGCCTGGTGGGGTTTTCACGTTTTTCGGGGTCTGGGGTGGACAAAAAGAGGGTAAAATTTGAAGATGCGTTTTGGAGGTCCCAAAAATCGGAAAAAAGTACCGTTTTGACACATTTTTCGGACGATTTTTCGCTTTTCGGAAGTCACAAAATGCTGTAAATTACAACATTTTTGCGTTTTAACGTCGTTGGCGGGAGCCATGCAAAAACGCAGAAAATGCTGTAAATACCAGTACTTTTTGGACCCGAGATGCACAAAACACTGCAAATACCAGTGTTTTTGAAAGCCAAGCAAAAAAACATTGTAAATTACAGCATTTTTGGCGGGTTGATCGCAAAAAATGCTGGTATTTACAATGTTTCTGCAATTTAAAGCAAACGTGGAAGGCACGAAACACTGTAAATAGCGGTGTTTTGGCAACTTTTGGACGCCGAAACGCTGGTATTTACGCAGTTTTTTGCTTGTGACGGGGCCACTCCCCTGTAAATTACAGCATTTTTTGCACTTTTTGAACCGATTTTTTGTCTTGATGAATGCAAAAAACGCTGGTATTTACACGTTTTTCAAAAAATCGAAGATCGTGATGTGAACGAAACTCTGTAAATAAGAGTGTTTTAGCCACTTTCGGGGACTAAAACTGTGGTATTTCCACGGGTTCTTACCATCTCACAGCACAAAATGCTGTAAATTACAACACTAGGCATAGGCCAACATAGCCTCAAGATGGGCCAACATAGCCCCAAGATGGGCCAACATAGCCCCAAGATAGGCCGCCGACCCTCAGCATGTCATGTTCGCAAGTTCAGATGACATCCCCCTCTCTCTTTCCCTCCCCCGACTCCTACCGGCGCCGCCGGTGTGCGAAGCTCTACAATTAGTAGCTATTTATCTTACATTATAGCTATATAATCTTCACAATTGGTGCCATTTCGATCGAAGGACCATTCTCCCAATCCTTCTCCCTTCATCGTGTCTGCTTGACCGAGCAGCTGCCATATGCAGCGTTGGATTCACTTGATTTCCTTGTGCTCGAGCATCGATATCACTACCTGCTGGTGATTCCAACAGGGCGATGATGATACCATGATCATGATGATTGTGATAATGATGATGAGACCATGGCGATGATGGTGATTATGATGATGATGATGATGATGATGTTTCATGGAATACCTGGAGGTCTTCTCTCGGCAGCAATTGTTCTTACTGATGTCCATGATTTGTTTCCAGAATCGAGTAAGTCGTTTCCCATTGGATTTTGTGGATGGTAATTAGGAGGGGTCTCAATAGAAATAGAATAGAAAACTCCTTCAATTCTGTTTTTGTGGTGATTTACTTCATTAAAAAAAAACAACCAGACTCTGACTCTGGGTCTTACCGGCTTGACTGGGGTGTAGAACAATATGGAAGTAATAAACATGAACGCAATGAGATAACCACCATGATCGTGTACCACCAATCAGATTAGGCACATGCCTACAAGCAACAAGCAATCAGTTTCGAGGATATCTATATAATGATTTCCTCGGTGCAATTGTATAGATCACCAATTCAAGGCCCGGAACAAAGTAATGCATACCGATACCAAAAGAAAACCATGAAGCGGTGGATTGCTGGAGTCCCAAACGATTGAAATATTGAAATGGTAATAATATGAGCATATATGAGCACTATCTTTGGACGATGTTCAACCATTCCTGCAAGTTTTACATGCCTGGATAATGGTCAAAATCCTGGTACCTGGTTTTCAGTTTTCAAGCAGAAATTGCTGGTATAGCCAAATGTTCATTCCATGCAAACAAAAATAACATAGATTTGCATCCATCCAATGATGTTCCTTGGTTTTGTAGCCGCGCTGCTACACTCTTGTCTGATTCTGGATAACTTATAATGATTCACTAACTTGAAAAACAGGCCACCTGGATAGTTGCCTCTACAAATCCCTCCAGTGACGTCGCAACGTGAGTTCATTTGGATCCATCTAGACTCATTGGTGATGCATGCCTCATGAAAGGCCCCTTGCAGTTGCAGTAAGCATCAAACAACACCACCATTGCCATGCATTGCTGCACGAACCTTTTTTTGGTCGAGCTGAAACGTCACACCCGTTTGAGTCATTGATACCCACGGTACAAAAGTGCTTGTGAACCAAAAGGTTAGCAACCTAAGTGGTTTATTGGGGATTACAAACTAGGTACCGCACAAACTAGTCCATCATCAACATGAATTAATCGGATACCTACTTATCAAACAGTGTTTAATAAAAAAAAGGACGGGAGAGGCATACAGTCAACAATGTCCATGGTTCATACACATGAAACATCATAAAATATTATAAAACATCAAAAAATATGTAGGGTTAGAATTGCAGCACTTACGGTTTGGTGGTTTGGTGCTACTCCCATCCAAGGGATCCAAGGGGCAACCCCCTTTTCATCAACTCCAAAGGGCCGAGGAACGGGTTGGTGGTCAAACGTTTGGCCCAGCGCCGGAACTTTTCCCAGCTGTTGCTGGAGAATTCGCCTGACTCTTTGACCTTGAAATGATCAACGCTATACAGGATGGGGCCCCAGTTCGTTAGCTAAGTTGGTTTATAACTACAATGACAATGGTGTATGATACTCAAAACTTATAACTATATTCAGATGGGGCTATAAACCAACTTATGACTGGGGGGCACCATCCTGTAGGGTTGGTAGAAGCTTGTAGCATCCAAATGTAAGGTTTGCCCACAAAATGCGAGTGCAATGATCGCCTTCAACCAACTCTGAGACTGAAACAATAAACTCACCACCGTAGATAGGCCCCCACATCTACATACAAGACAAAAGCATACTTGGCTAATGTTTCTGTTTTAGAGGTGTCAAATTGAAGATTCAACACAGAAGGGCAGCAAGAGACCCCGATGATTGCTTCTAGATCTATTCATTTTGAGGTCCCATTCAGGAGGTTTCTCAATCATGTTCGTATCAAAGGGTGGAGATTGACAGTTCAATGTGGAATCTATCACACAGATATTATATTATATTGGGATGGCTGAACATCTAATGTCATATTAGTTATGGTATATGAAATCGAACAAAGTCAAAGCACTACTGCACAAGACATGGATGGTTTTTGCGGGCTCATTGGTACCCCGTTTTGGGTCGCCATAGCAATTTTTAACCTACCACATCGTGGCTGATGATTCATGAACTGTTCAGAAGACTTTCCTGTAAGGACTGTGGCCTTCAAACCAGGTGTTTCATTGTGCCTTTGAGATGTCTCTGCAAAAAAAACATTGCTAACGTACCATCCCAGACACACAATGATGGAAACGACGTGCTCTCCGCATGGGGAAATGATTTTTCCACTAAAAATAGTCAAACAGTAAACATAAACGCAACGCCCACCATTTGCTTCACAACTTACATGGGGTGGGGAGGGGTGGGTTGGGGACGTTAACCTTCCTTCAACCGCGTTCCTTCGACCTTGCACAAAATGTCTACAGATGTTGATGCTACGCTCACATGGGGTGGGGTGGGGTGCGGTGGGGGTGTTAACGTTCCTTCAACCGCGTTCCTTCGACCTTGCACAAGATGTCTACAGCTACGCTCACATGGAGTGGGGTGGGGTGCGGTGGGGATGTTAACGTTCCTTCAACCGCGTTCCTTCGACCTTGCACAAGATGTCTACAGATGTTGATGCTACGCTCACATGGGGTGGGGTGGGTGTGCGGTGGGGATGTTAACGTTCCTTCAACCGCGTTCCTTCGACCTTGCACAAAATGTCTACAGATGTTGATGCTACGCTCACATGGGGTGGGGTGGGGTGCGGTGGGGATGTTAACGTTCCTTCAACCGCGTTCCTTCGACCTTGCACAAGATGTCTGAAGATGTTGATGCTACGCTCACGTGGGGTGGGGTGCGGTGAGGATGTTAACGTTCCTTCAACCGCGTTCCTTCGACCTTGCACAAGATGTCTACAGATGTTGATGCTACGCTCACATGGGGTGGGGTGGGGTGCGGTGGGGATGTTACCGTTCCTTCAACCGCGTTCCTTCGACCTTGCACAAGATGTCTACAGATGTTGATGCTACGCTCACATGGGGTGGGGTGGGGTGCGGTGGGGATGTTACCGTTCCTTCAACCGCGTTCCTTCGACCTTGCACAAGATGTCTACAGATGTTGATGCTACGCGTACATGGGGTGGGGTGGGGTGCGGTGGGGATGTTACCGTTCCTTCAACCGCGTTCCTTCGACCTTGCACAAAATGTCTACAGATGTTGATGCTACGCTCACATGGGGTGGGGTGGGTGCGGTGGGGATGTTAACGTTCCTTCAACCGCGTTCCTTCGACCTTGCACAAGATGTCTACAGATGTTGATGCTACGCGTACATGGGGTGGGGTGGGGTGCGGTGGGGATGTTAACGTTCCTTCAACCGCGTTCCTTCGACCTTGCACAAGATGTCTACATGTTGATGGATGCTACAACGTTGGGGGGGGGTGGGGTGCGGTGGGGATGTTAACGTTCCTTCAACCGCGTTCCTTCGACCTTTGCACAAGATGTCTACAAGATGGTTGATGCTACGCTCACATGGGGTGGGGTGGGGTGCGGTGGGTGATTCCTTCAACCGCATTCCTTCGACCTTGCACAAAATGTCTACAGATGTTGATGCTACGCTCACCTGGGTGGGTGGGGGTGCGTGGGGATGTTACCGTTCCTTCAACCGCGTTTCCTTCGACTTGCACAAGATGTCTACAGATGTTGATGCTACGCTCACATGGGGTGGGGTGGGGTGCGGTGGGGATGTTAACGTTCCTTCAACCGCGTTCCTTCGACCTTGCACAAAATGTCTACAGATGTTGATGCTACGCTCACATGGGGTGGGGTGGGGTGCGGTGGGGATGTTAACGTTCCTTCAACCACGTTCCTTCGACCTTGCACAAGATGTCTACAGATGTTGATGCTACGCTCACATGGGGTCGGGTGGGGTGCGGTGGGGATGTTAACGTTCCTTCAACCGCGTTCCTTCGACCTTGCACAAGATGTTGATGCTACAGATGTTGATGCTACGCTCACATGGGGTGGGGTGGGGTGACCTTGTAGTGCGTGTAAGTCACCACGTCCCACATTGTATGTTGTTGCTTCTGCTGATGATGATGATGATCCCGTCGAACTCTTCCAGACGCGGGGCGTTTTTTGTGGGAGTTGCTCGTAAACATACTGTTGTCACCTGTCACAGTGTCTTGTGACTAGAAGGGGCTTAAACATGCGTTAAAAAAACCGTTATCTTGGAACAAAAAAGATTTGTTCACCTCCGCAAAGGCGATGCTGTCAAAAATCACCACAGATCTTTGTGACAGAATCCTGTGAGGCTTGCAAAGAAGCCTAAGCAATCACTTGCAACTGCAAAAAACATATAATTGAAAAACAACTGCTGTACCACATGCCACAAGAATGGGTAGCTTGTGTGCATGTTGGAATAGAATATACAGTATCGATAGGTGGCTAGTGTGATAATCCTGATGGAGAATTTCTATGCTAGCAACAACTCACATGATATAGTTGTTTCTTCATGAACTTGTTGAATTGGTATCATCTCACATATATTGCACACAGAGTCATTTGCACTTGTAACAATTCATTGAAGATATACAAAGGTGTGGGCGTGCACAGGGATATTTACAAGCACATATGACACTCTGAATAAGAAGGTGGGAATGTTACAACTCAAGCAGTAGGGTACAATACATGTCGTGTTTGTCATTGCTCTCTTGCAGAGCCGGGTCAGCAGGCTCATTCCAATAATTAGAGAGAGAGAGGGAGACAGAAAGGCAGAGAGGCAGAGAAGTGTGTCCTGCTGTTGGCTATTAAGGCCAGGTCACCTGCTTGATGACAAAGCTAGTCAAAGACAATGGTATGCTTGCTTCCTTGAAAAAAACATTTAATCATGTCCAAGATCCAAACATACACGATTTAGCATGCGCTCAATGGGCAGGTGCCGTTGCTATTTATCAAACATAACATAACTATCAATAGATTCAATAAATGAATTGAAGCAACGCTCATAATTGAAGAAGTTGGACACATTTCCTGTTTGTCATACTATGTTTTATCTTGCAGAGCCTTGTTGGCAGATTCATTACAAAAAGTAAAGAAAATATTCATTTGTTAATTTGTTGGTGAAATCCAAACGTGTGTGATCTAGCCTGCAGCCAAGAGGCAGTTACAATTGCAATTCCTCAAACCGATATTAGCAATACATGAAGTAACGGTGATAGCAGTTTTGATTAAAATGTAATTTTGTTTCTTGTTTGTTTTCGTCGGTACCTGTCAACATTTTGTGAGGTCAGAGTCACCAAACCCGCACAGGCATCAAAAAAAACGCTAGATGCACCAAACCTGCACAAACACAAAAAAAATGGTGGATGTTAAAATGTTAAATCCCATGTCCACATAGTTTTCGCATTAAATTGTGCAATTCCAAAGATGATATCAAGTATCATCTGACTTGCCCAGGTGTGCGGTTTTTTCCCAGAACATGTGAGCAGTGTTCAAAACCCAAAATGTTGTACGCTCAAAAAGCTGGCTGGTTTTCTTAACGGATTTCCAAGTTTATGGATTGTAATAATCCCCAATAAAGGAAAGTAAGCAACAGGAGTTTAGCAATCACTGCTCAATTAGCCACACATATATATATACATATATACGTATAAAATGTATATATATATATATGTATATATATATACATATGTATATATGTATATATATATGTATATATATATATACCCATTGTCCTTTTCTCATCCCAGTATCATCCCTATTCATTTTTAATAAACAATATAAACAAATCATATTCTAAAACAAAATAACTGCTTGTTCTTTTCCCATTTGAATCACAATGACCACCCAATGACCTGTTTCCCGATTCCAACGGCAAAGGAACTGTCTTGGCTCGGATGAAATCGCCATGAATCTGAGCACCTGCCGTCTGATATAAGTCGCCAATTCATATATCCCAAGGCAAAACGTATATCCTGTAAATATATGTCAATATATGTAAAATGTACATAATTTATGTGCAAATTATATATATGCCTTGTAAAAACTATCTATCAAAACAAGTTTACGCTAAATACTGGATTGGGAAATTGGGAAATGTAATTAATTAGTATGTATATATATGTATATATACATACATATGCATATTGCATGACAAACACCGGTATATGACGAAGCCACCAAAGATTCAAAAAGTGAATATTGACACCCAAATATCCACAAAGTTCAATTCCCGTCCGGAACAACAATTCTAATCCGTTCCCATATAAGTTACGTATGTAAGTATGTAAAAATAATCGTCAGAAATAAACATAAGTAAATACATTGTCTGCATACTTCACTGCTCTAAGACAAGGAATACCTTTCAAATATGGGGTCCACGCTTTTGCATGAAGGGAGACACAAATCTACATATAAAAAATCATCAAAAAATATGTGTATATATAATCCTAGGCCTTAACCTAGGCCTCATTGTTCTCATCCCTGATAGTTTCAGAGCACAACCATCACTCTTTGGAGAATTGCAAGGTACCCCATGAAACTGCAAAAAATGACATCCCAATGCTGAAATATCTTTGGCAATGCTGATGGCCACTTTTAGCCACCGCATTGCTGTTTATTGCCACACTTGTCACCTATTGAAAATGCCAAACCGCTAAATTCAAGGGAGAAACAAAAAAGCAGGAAGAGACGATTGCATGTGGTCTCCATGCACGGAAGAACAAGCACACTTCATCAAAGCCCGTGGGCTTGACATTTCCCAGCAGGAATGTATACACGACACTGTGTATGTTTTCCATTGTTTTCCTGCCTATGTATTTGATAGAGCACAATTCTCTCCTTTTATCAAGGGAGCAAGCAATGAATCTGTTCGACCTTTGTACCAGCAATGCAGAAAACTGGGATTAGCACATATCACATAAAGTTGGACAATTTTGCTGCCAGATTTTATACCATTCGGGAAATGGGTTTAATCCATTATGATTATGATGATTAGTGTTTGACTTCCATGTCTAATACAACTCTTTTTGGCTTATGGTGCAACAATAAGTTATTTTGATATATTTTGATCCTCAATTCCTTTCGATGCGGCAGATACTTGCTATTATTTTAGTTGGTGTTCAACTTCGAATTGGATGTCGCTAGAGGCTGCAAGTTGTCACCAATGTGCGTACTTCCAAGTTGGTGTACTCATGGATGAAGTTATTGATTGACCGCCAAGTTGCGTTCATGTCTAGAAAAACATGTTTGTGTTTCCGAAGATTGGAGTATCTCTAAATATCCCCAATCACCTTTGGTCTGCCTCAGTAAAGATTCACCAATGGCATTAGATCATTTAGGGTCCCCCAATTTCGGAAAGCCTAAGGGTTCCCAGGTTTGATCAAATGCTAGACATACCCTCTGGTAATCAAACGTGGCAAATTACCAAAGTGTTCACCCACAAAAAAAAGGGCCCATTCTCACTTGCACTGCCCCTGTGTTCCTAAATCAAATCGAATCTTTGACAAAATGATACCCTCTGGTTATTTACCATAGCCATGGAAAATTAACCCATTTATAGATGGTTTACCTATTAAAAATGGTCCCACCTGCTGTGCTTTTCTTTCTGCTGCCCACCGAAATCATTGGGTCACTCGTTTTGCAACCTGAAGCGACATCAGCAACAACCCAGAACATGGGGGGACAAAACGCTGGGTCAACCACAAAAAAAATTGAAATGGTGGTCTAGCCATGAAAAATGGTGGTTAAAACATGAAAGTTTGGGATTTAATTTATCAGAAACGGGGATTCAATCACCAAAATGGAAATCGACAACCAATGTGGGATATCTATCGCGGAGTCAAAAATTTTGGGAATATGTATAGATATATATATTATCTATATTATAATGATGATTGTCCAGTGTCATGGTCGATTACCAGGCGGTGAACCCTTGAAAGCACAGCTGTTGAGGAGTCGAACCATCAAAAAAAGGAGCAAGCAAGTGTATATGCAGCCAAAAATGAGGAGTTTCATCTAGTTTAATCACCAAAATTCACCAAAACTCGAATAAAGAGTCTTCCTGTGTGGTTTCCATTGTATAGTTTTTCGCGGCGAGAAATCATTTCTATTCAGGGAACAATGCTTGGCAACCGGTCGTGTTGAGAAAATGGGTTTATATATGGCTGGTTGGTGGTATACCTACCCCTCTGAAAAATATGAAAGTCAGTTGGGATTATTATTCCAAAAATCTTCCGAACCACCAACCAGATGGGAATGCAAGATAATCTTGTGTTGAGTTGCGCAGTGCTGTATTGCTCTGATCTGACCAATTTCTTGTATATTAAGCGGGCAGTGCTAGACCTAGAGGGTCAAAAACCAACGTTAATTAATTAAGAAACTTTGGGATTGTAAACGTTAATGATGTAACCGAAGGAAGTTTAGAAGTCAAACTTCCGACAATATGGACAAATGAAAAGCAGCGACGGGAAGAGTCAGAGAGAAGAGAAGGGCAGAAGAGAGAAGATTAGAGAAGAGAAAGAGTCAGAAGAAAGAAGATCCAGGTGCACGAAAAGGTAGGAAAGTCGCAATTGTGGCCCCGGAGGGTCGAAAAGTAGGCTCGCTAAAGCGGCGGGTGCGGAGCCAGCTGGCCAGATGAGAGATGAAAAATTGCACACCGTTGTGGCGCAAAGCACATTTCGAAGTCAAAATGCACATAACACACCATGCTCGGAGCACTTTTGGAAGTTGAGATGTCGAAAAAGTGCACGCCGTTGTGGCGCGAAGCACATTTCGAAGTCAAAATGTACAAAACACGCCAGGTTCGGACCACTTTTGGAAGTTGAGATGTCGAAAAAGTGCACGCCGTTGTGGCGCAAAGCACATTTCGAAGTCAAAATGCACATAACACACCATGCTCGGACCACTTTTGGAAGTTGAGATGTCGAAAAAGTGCACGCCGTTGTGGCGCGAAGCACATTTCGAAGTCAAAATGTACAAAACACACCATTCTCGGACCACTTTTGGAAGTTGAGATGTCGAAAAAGTGCACGCCGTTGTGGCGTGAAGCACATTTGAAGTCAAAATGTACAAAGCAGCAGATATACGCACCACTTTTGGACGTTCAGGCGTCATTTTGCGTGGTGGGCGCAAGGGAGATGGTGCACCTTGTCAAAAGCGAGCAAAATGTGATGGTTTTGTAGCATTTACCATTTCCAAAAAACGATGGCAGGCGTGGGACATTTGAACAGGTTCCGTGGCAGGCGCACAAAAGACATGTTCATCAGAGCTGTTAGGAGGTCCGGGCGCTGATTTCCTGAGAGAGGTTGTATTGTGGAGCCTGAAATCTTCAGGTTTGCTGAGATGATTTTGCGCGACAGGTGCAGCACTTCGTATGACCTGGCATCACTTTTTCGTGGCAGGCGCAGTAGTTTTGACAAGTGGATTGGAAAAATCACAAAACTCATTGGTACGAGGCCGTCAGCGCTGCACGCAACTTTCCGTTTTTGAAGGAAGTCTCGCAGAATTGCTTCGTTTTTGATGTTGTCAACTTTGAAAAATGAAGTCTCGCAGAATTGCTTCGTTTTTCACGTTGTCAAGTTGAAACATTGAGGAAGTCTTGCAGCATTGCTTCGTTTTTGATGTTGTCAACTTTGAAAAATGACGAAGTCTCGCAGAATTGCTGCGTTTTTGATGTTGTCAAGTTGACTACGAATTGACTATTTTTATTCCCTTCCACATATTAAACACCACCAGAAACCATGGTGGATGTAGATCTGCATTGCGTGCGTTTCGGCATCGCCTAAGCCATGGTGAATCCTTGGTGAATCCTGGGATTGTTTAAATTCCGGGCTTCCCCCGTTTTAGAAGTATAGTAATATAGTAATATAGATCAATATGATTCCAAATGTAGATCAATATGATTCCAAATATAGATCAATATAGATCAATATAGTAATATATAGTAATATATAGTATTATATAGTATTATATAGTAATATATAGTAATATATAGTAATATATAGTAATATATAGTAATATATAGTAATATAATATATAGTAATATATAGTAATATATAGTAATATATAGTAATATATAGTAATATATAGTAATATATAGTAATATATAGTAATATATAGTAATATATAGTAATATATAGTAATATATAGTAATATATATAGTAATATATAGTAATATAATATATAGTAATATATAGTAATATATAGTAATATATAGTATAGTAATATAGTAATATATAGTAATATATGGTAATATATAGTAATATATAGTATTATATAGTATTATATAGTAATATATAGTAATATATAGTAATATATAGTAATATATAGTAATATATAGTAATATATAGTAATATATAGTAATATATAGTAATATATAGTAATATATGGTAATATATAGTAATATAAATGGTAATATATAGTAATATATATAGTAATATATAGTAATATATAGTATATAGTAATATATGGTAATATATAGTAATATATAGTATATATAGTAATATATATATATATGGTAATATATAGTAATATATAGTAATATATAGTAATATATAGTAATATATAGTAATATAGTAATATATAGTAATATATGGTAATATATAGTAATATATAGTAATATATAGTATAGTAATATATGGTAATATATAGTAATATATAGTAATATATAGTAATATATAGTAATATATAGTAATATATAGCAGTTATAGCAGCAACTAGCCCAGGACGTTATGGACGGTGCTCAATGTGCTCATGCCCATGAAGTCACTACTGGGCTCATTTTGACTTAAACTTTAGCCATGCAAATCACCAACTTGGAAACTGTTTTCTGTCGTTTTCCCAGCTATGTGCTGATGATGGGGTGATAGTGATGGTGGTGATGGTGAGGATGACTATTATGTCCATAGTCTTCATAGCAGAATTTATGTTTATAAGTTATAAGTTTTTATATACACCCACACTTCTTTCTGGATCTATTATGCGCAATCTGCTTACTTGTCTGCATGTTACTTTTACTATTTTTTGTATATTTGCACCAAAGCTAGCTGGCTAGCACACATGATCTGTGCTTCTATTGAAGGAACAAATTTTGGGAACGATTGCGTCAATCCCGCAAGAATGTTATGAGTTATACCCGTATACTTACTACCCTCTTGCAATCGAAGATGGCAACGGAACACCCACATCACCCACCATTTGCAGATGATGTTCCGATCAAATCAGCTGGACATTTCCACTCCAATCTTATCGAAGGGTATCTCAAGAGTCTGGATTGTAGCCCCACCCCTAACACAGAAACTGGGATAGGAGCCATGGGTAGTTATCCATCATGGGTTTTTGTACAACATCAACATTTTTTCATGGTGAGATTCCCACTGAGTTTCCGAACTCTCAATCGGAGACATCGGTGGACTCGTTCTTGAATCTGTCTCCATGCTGGCCCAATACAGGTGCCCTTCTCCGGGAGACGAGTCGACGAGTCAAAATGATGGATGATCCATGGGAAAATTGCACCACCAATGACTGAATAACGGATAGGGTGTATCCTCTGGTCAATTCAGATAGCTATGGAAACCATGGTCCATTTATAGATGATAAAATAAATATAATATTCCTTGCCTAAAACAGTGTCAGTACTCGTCTTTCTGGTGAAGCCATGCTTCTGTGGAAACGCTCGGAGCTGCTACTTGAACCTTCCTGATTTCTCGAGAATACTGCGACGCGATGAGCCAATATTGGTTTGGGAACTGTGCAAACCCATTGAACCCTCTGGTATACGTACACATAACGAACTGGAAAATCACCATGTTCAATGGGTAAATCCACGAACTAAATGGCCATGTTCAATAGCTATGTCAGTCATTACCAGAGGGCAATAAACCCATCATTTCGGGACGGTTTCTATCACCCATGGTGATTATGGAGATGGTTTGCTATCGGATTTACCACACTACAAGACCCCTTGCCTTTGTCAAAGTGGTGGGGAATGGTGGGGATTCCTGTCAAGAAGTCCCACCGTTCCGGAAGTTCCGGTGTTTCACTAGCTCTCACACTTTGTCTATAGCACCTTTGCGGTTCCACCTGGATTTTCCCAGTGGGATCCCCATTTTCAGTGGTTGGTTACAAATCCCTAAACCAAACAAAGCCAAATGATGTGTTTGGTTTGTCAATCCAACTACGTAACTACATTCCCTTTACATGCTCATTGTACTGAATCCCCATTATATATATATATATTCTTGATGAAATCCAGCATTACATCCCATTGTCACTGATAACTGGGTGTATAAGCCCCATGATGCTTCCATTAGTTGTGGTGTCCTATACATTCCATTATCTGCCAACTTTGCGACAGTTGTATCCCAGTCTAATAACCACCCAAATCATTACAGGATTGAAGGAATTACAGGCCGCACCATCAGCCTCCAGCAACGGGTGCTTATTAAACCACTATTGTTGAGGGAGTAGCTTGGGATATGGGTTGGATACAGCTGGGCAAAATATGAAGCTATTCTCTATTAACATCTATCAACATCTATTAACATATGTATGTGGTAAGCTTGTCATCAAACCTATCATTCAATTGGAATCCTCCCACCCAAGTCACACTTTTTGTGAAACAGTCGAGCTAACACCTAGTTGGAGAATGCTACGACACATCTCAGAGGAGTCCGAGAATTTGGCGGACAGCTCCGGACTCACACGACTGGTTTGGGAGATTTGGCCGTTCCAGGGTTGGGATTTCGAAGATTTGCACAAGGCTCTAAAAGCTCGAAGTTGGGAAACCGAAAATTACCAGGCGAAGCCTCATATGATCGAATATGTTCGAACTAGTATTAGCAAATCTGAACCACACTTTATGGGGTGTCCAGTTTCATGCTAATATGGTAGTGGACCCGGTGGAGCAATTTGGCAGGGCATCTCGTGAAGGAACAGAGCTGTCAATATGTGTCAATCTATTCCAGACTCTTCCAGACACAGGAATCAGAAGGTTGGTTGAAGCAAACATCGGAAAGGTGTTGCGGAGACTGGAAGGGTTTTCTCTACAAGAAGACCTTGGACTTGAGTCTGCATAGTTATTTGATGTTATTTGTAGCTGGAATAGGGATGATTTATCCATTGGTCCATTGCCAACTTAAAGACTTCTGAAGGTAAATCAATTTGTTGTTTGCAAAAGAGGCCAATTGTTTTGCCATGGTGTGAAGGGTTAAATCGCAACCGTCACGATTTTTGGCGGCTTTGACTCCCCCCAAACTACTCAATTTTCAATTTTCAGTATCCTCCATTTTTGGTAAACCCATCTATAGCAAACCTCTGCCTTTTTGGGAGAAACCACTATAGGTTTGGGGTACCCTGTTTCGGACAAACCCATTTACGACATCTTTGAAGTTTAATAGCCCTTTTTGTTGGTGATAAACCCATGTTCTACACGTAAATTTGACCTCTCAACATCATTGGCTATGGTGTCGGAAATTTCCCCACAATTTGGACCATTTAGGGGGTGTTTCATAGGGGAAAGGTTCTGGGTAGGAAAGATGTGCTGCAAGGCTCCAGGCGGAAAGTATGCAAAATCAATTTCGAAAAGTCGAAAAACGAAAAGTCGAAAAGTGGAAAGATTTCGTTTTGAATTTCGAAAAATCGAAAAGTAAGAATGTTTTTTTATTACGAAAAGTCGAAAAGTCAAAAAGTAAGAAGGGGTATATGTTAATTTCGAAAAGTCGGAAAGTATATGTTTTGACTTTTCACTTTTTGACTTTTTGAATTTTTGCCGGATGCCTTTCCAGCTGAACTTCCGCAGCTAAAAGTACAAAACTTAAACCGTTGAGAATCGAGAGGGAAGAAGAAAAGTCGAAAAGTCGAAAAGTTGAAAAGTCGAAAAGTCGAAAAGTATACTTTTGGACTTTTCACGTTTTGACTTTTTGAATTTTTGCGGGGTGCCTTTCCAGCCGAACATGCGCAGCTCTTTTTTCCAGCTTAGGAAAGGGATTATGATCATCCCCAAATGACGACAAAACCGAGGCAAACCGCGGAAGAAAAACACTGGCGATTCTTTGTCTGTGGGGTATGAAAGCATCCATAATGTTTTTTTTGTGAGATAGCCATGTGACTAGTGGGATGTCTAAACTTGGGATATAACAATGATTTTGACTTCGGATATAAGCTAGCCCTTCCATTTTCAGGTGTTCAAACCAACCAGAGTCCCCTGTGTTTTTCGGGATGTGGCTTGGATATTTCAAGGGGAGATATGACATGTCGGCCCCAACACAGTACCTAAAAGTCAACTCACCAGGTGATTGGGAAAATTCGAGAACATGACGATGAAACATGATGAAACATGGGATGTTGGGGTATCCAGAATAGAAATATTAAAAATACCTACAATAACCTACTATATAATCCTATATATTTAGCCATGTCTTGACTTCGCGATGTCGAATCGACGACTGCACGTTCCATTGCTCCAACTCCAGAGGCTTCTCCCCGTGTCGTGGGCAAACATATCTTAAAGGATGGTAAAGAGTTAGACGCTGCCGACCTGTCAGGGAGCTGCTGATGTCTGATTCCAGTGCCACAAAAAAAGAAAACATTTTGCCTGAGACTGGCTATCTGACTTGAATAGGCTATGAAACTATGGTTCACCCCACTTAGGTGTTTCCTAAACTGGGGGTACCCTCAAAATCTTATTTTCGGATTTTAGGGTACCCCCCCCCCCATTTATGGTTCACCTCCATTTAGAAGCTCATGAGAGCTTCATTTTGACCGACCCACCACTATACCTCTTTCATCACATGGTATGCCTCAAATTCCCTGAAAAATCCTAGTTGCGTGTGGGGATATGTGGAAAGCCTCCATTTCTGCCCGTCTAGCTGCAGGGGATGAGGCAACAGATCCAATTTGGGATGGACCAAAATCCATCAAACCATTGGTGAACACAAAAATACATCATCAAAATAATAACTAGGATGTGAGATTTTCATACCCGTAAAAAAATGCGTATTTATTGGTATTGACACAGATCCAAATAAGACCCAAATGCAATGGGAACCTGAGGGGATGTGAGGGGCATGGTTTTGGTCACATTCTTGGTGAGTTTTCTATTGCCTTGCCACGCCTACATTGTTCAGATCGAATAATACCCTTGAGTAGGAAATAAAAAACAAACAGAAAAATGAAATACTCGCTGGTTATTTATAGATGTTTACCTATTAAAAATGGTGATTTTCCATGGCTATGTTAAATAACCAGATGGTACCACTCAGAGAATCCCGCCGGGGCCTTCCAAACAAAACCAAGGCCCGAACTGTTCGAAGTCAGGACTCCTTGTGGTAAGGTAAAAACCCAATGCCACCCATTAACTATAAACATGACTGGGGTTCATTTTACATCATGAAAAATTACTAGGGGTATACCTAATAGTAAACCTCTTTGGGGGAATATTGAGCATGGTTTATTCTATAGTTATCCCATAATTGGCCATGATTTTCCAATATTTCTATGTTCACGTCATATTTGGTTTGGAAGATGCTGGAAGATTTTTAATCTATCAATCTGGCCGAATTATCACAATTCACCCACCTGAAAAATTCGGACAAACCACTTACAATTACTAAAATCCAACTGTATAGCCACAAAACCTTTGCTTTCACATGCAATGTCTCATGTATTATAAATCTCTATGGCCAGACGAATATGTTTCAAATACAATTCAGATCTAAAACATTTCTCAGATGCATTATGAACCATTATTATCAATGTAGCCAAAAGTTTGATTGCCAGTAGTGCCACAAGGCGGTGGTGGAAGTTTCAAAGATAGCACACCATAGGAGAAGTGAGTTGTTGTGATGCATGGGTGTCAGAGCGAATCCACTGATGGACAGAAAGGTGGTTGGAGTTGTGTTTTTTGGAGTGGTTGCAATGGTTGCAGTGGTCACCTCACCCAAAACTGCTGGATGTAGTGGTGTAGGCAGTTATAGTTGTAGTGTAGTGCAGCTGTAGTTGTAGTGCAGTGTAATTAGTGTAGTGCAGTTGTAGTCGCAGTTGCAGTTGTAGTTGTGGTGTAGTGTAATGAGTATAGTGTAATGTAATGTAGTGTAGTGTGCTGTAGTGTTGTGTGCTGTAGTGTAGTAAAGTGTAGTGTAGCCTAGCATAGTGTAGTGCAAAGTATTGTTGCTGTAACTGTAGTTAGTGCATTTTAGTGTAGTGTAGTGTATAATTAGTGTAGTGTAGTGTAAAAATTAGTGTGGTGTAGTGTATACTTAGTGTAGTGCAGTGTATAATTAGTGTAGTGTAGTGTAGTTTTGATGTAGTGTAGCTAGTGTAGTGTAATTAGTGTAGTGTACTTAGTGTAGTGTAATTGTTGTAGTGTAATTGCTGTAGTGCAATTGGTGTAGTGTAATATGTGCAGTTTAATTATTTCTTATTATTGTAGTGTAATTAGTGTAGTGCAAATTGTGTAGTGTGGAGTAGTGTAATTAGTGTAGTTGTAGTTGTAGTGCCGTGTCGTGTAATTAGTGTTACTAGTGAAGATAATTAGTGTAATTAGTGTAGTGTAGTTGTAGTTGTAGTTGCACCTGTAGCTGTAGCTGTAGTAGTAGTATTAGTGTAATTAGTGTAATTACTGTACTTAGCGAAATGAGTGAGTGTCGTGTAGTGTAGTGCAGTGTACTTAGTGTACTTAGTGTGCTTAGTGTGCTTAGTGTACTTAGTGTACTTAGTGTACTTAGTGTACTTAGTGTAGTGTAAGTGTAAGTGTAAGTGCAAGTGCAAGTGCAAGTGCAAGTGCAAGTGCAAGTGCAAGTGTAAGTGTAAGTGTAGTGTAGTTAAGTGTAGTGTAGTGTAGTGTAGTGCAGTGCAGTGTAGTGTAGTGCAGTGCAGTGTAGTGTAGTGTAGTGTAATTCGTCCAGTGTAAAGTAGCGTAGTATATTTGTAATTGCAGTTGTAGCTGTAATAGTAGTGTAGCGTGTTGGTGTTGGAGTTGAAGTTGTAGTTGTAGTCGTCTATCTATCTATCTGTCAAGCTAGAAAACGAAGCTCTTCGGCGAGACTTCCTCAATTTTTATACTTGACAACATCCAAAACGCAGCAAGTCTGCGAGACATCCTCAATTTTTGAAGCTGACAATGCAGCAAGTTTTTGAAACTGCTACACTTTTGGCAAGGTACCGAATCCCTTGCGCCTGCCACGCAAAACCACATCCTAACTTCCACAAGTGGTCCGAGACCGTCAGTTTTTAACACTTTTGACTTCGAAATGTGCTTCGCGCCACAACGGCGTTCACTTTTTCAATAGCTCAGCTTCCAAGAGTGGTCTGAGACCCTCAGTTTTTGCACTTTTCACTTTGAAATGTGCTTCGCAACAAAACGGCATGCACTTTTTTGACATCTCTGCCCCCAAAAGCGCTCCGAGCATGAGGTGCTTTTGGCATTTTGACTTCTAAATCTGCTTCGCGCCACATCGGTGTGCAATTTGTCATCTCTCATCTCCCCAGATGGCCAGATGGCTCTGCACCCGGCGCTTTAGCAAGCCTACTTTTTGACCCTCCGGCGCGGCAAAACATTGGAAAACACATTGTTTCGCGACTTTTCTTGCATCTTCTTTCTTCTGATTCTTTCTCTTCTCTGATCTTCTTTATTCTTCTCTTCTCTTCTCTGACTCTTGCCATCTCTGCTTTTCATCTGTCCATATTGTCGAACCATTATGAACCATTAACCCATCAAAAACCAAAAGCCGCTTCCGCTTATACAGTATGTGGTGCGATACACGAGGCATAAAGCCTCTATAATAGAGACATCTAGACACCAGATTTGGGCTGTTTCTTGTGGTACGCGTTGAAAAATGTGGGGTGCGGCAAAAAAATAGATACCATATCCGTACACATGGTTTACATACCTGTTGATCTGTTGTTTCTCTGGTTTCTTTGTAACAGCCAGATCACTGTCTGAGATCAATCGTTTATTTGGATCAACTCATTCAACCGGTCTCGTTCTGGAAAAACCATCTGACGGAAATCAGATCATCTTGGTACCATCCTGACACTTCCCTGAGTAGCCCCTCCTACTGCAGAATTACCTTGAAAATGATGACAGTTGGAGGATGTTCAGAACAACTTTAAAAAAAAAAAACTCAAGCCATTGGGCAAGAGTTGAAGAAGGACAGACCGTACCACAAATGTGACATCACATTTGTAGAACAGCTTCGCATAAGCGAGAGGACTGATGTGACCGTTGTGAATTCAAACTGAGCAATTGGCAGTTTTCAAGTTTTTAACCACCATCATCCATCTGGGTAAATTAGAACATATTTCACTAACCTGAATTGTTGGGCCATTTGGGGATGATTTCCCTTATTAACTATAATTTACCCAGATCCATTTGCCAACCAGTTCATGCGGTGTGTATAAAACTGGCCAACCGTTGGTCAGATGGTCACATGAGGCCGATGTTTAGGCCATTGGCCCAATTTGCCCAGGGCGCCAGGATTGAAATTCGAGAGCCTGCAGCCTACCCTGATCACCACGGTCTTTTTGTTAAAAAATCACGTGGTTTCATCAAGTCAAGGTGGCGAAGATGCTTTGAAAGCTCCAAACACGGTGATTATACATGCTGAAAAAGATGGAATACATGATGTATATCCAAAAGAATACATGAAATATCAGACATTATATCAGGAATACATGATACATGCTGATTAACTTGGTCTTATGATACAAACACGGTTATATCTTGGGTCTTAATGTCATATCCTATCCACTGCTAGTCACAGCAATCGTTAATTTACCCATGGACCGGTACAACGAATCCACGATTGTCCATAAGCCATGAACGAACGCTGCCCTGTTAGGTTGACCAATGGCCAGTTAGAATACATGTGACCAGTCCCGGTGTCAAAAAAGAGAATCATTGCCCTAAGAATTGCAACTTACCCTCTGGTAAACGTTTACATAACGAACTGGAAAATCACCATTTTTAATGGGAAAATTCACTATTTCTATGGCCATGTTCAATAGCAAACTGTTCGTTTCCCAGAGCGCAAATGGAACATATTCCGATCATTGATCTGTGAGATGAACCCTCCAAAATCTGAGCCACGTTTAGTCGAAGAAAGGTCCTGCACACTGAAGAACACCAACTCCGAAAGGACCATGATATTTCTTTAAAATTCACAGACATAAACCGATTTTCAAATGATTGCCCCTAAAAAACTCGGGTGAGGTCGTAGTGAGCTTGCTATGCACATCGGTATGTATCCGATTGAAATATGTTTGATACCGGTGGTTACAACATGTTACAACCCCTATGCGATGGTTGACTCCACATCTTTGATGACTCCAGTCAATATTTTCTATATGATGTTTAATATCATGATATATCATGATATCCATGGATTTTGATACGATTAAATCATACTAAATCCATATTTCCATCGCGATCTGTTGGTGTTTCCCATCGCAGATCATCGCAGATCATCGCAGATGGCCGGAGATGATCGCATGGACTTGGCCATCTGTCGCCAGGTCCTTGGTGATCGCTGGTCCGGCAGAATTTACACATATATAATATACATATATGATTATATATGGATATATATATATATATATTATATTATTTATATACTTTTTTTTGGATTTCCGTGTCGTGTTTTGGGTGTTTTGGTTTTCCGGGCGGACGACCCTCGTTTTAGCCGTGTCATGTGAGCTGGATCATTACCAAAAAATGCTGAAAACATCATCCATCCTGAAAGATGTATAGCATCTTCAGATCAAAGTCCGTGGTTAAATTTTAGCCACCAAACAGTGTGATATTCTGTTCATTCTGTTCGAATCGATTCGAACCTGAGAATAGGACATCTGTTCGAACGGTGTTTGGCACCTCGATGTTCCAAGTCTCCCCATCAAACCCTCCCGCGGCCTCGCAGATCTGGCAGTCACATACTTTCTATGCGTTGGAAATTGCCTTTCACCTGGGACACGAGACTCCCTCGATCTCCCCCGATGGCATGAGTATATGTATATATAATTAAATATATATATATATTGTATATATATATATATTGAGTATATATATATATTGTATATATATATATTGTGTATATATATATTGTATATATATTGTGTATATATACATATATATTATATATATATATATATATTGTATGTATATATATATATATATTGTATATATATTGTATATATGTATATATATATATTGTATATATATATATTGTATATATATTGTATATATGTATATATATATATATTGTATATATATATATATATTGTATATATATATATTGTATATATATATATATATTGTATATATGTATATATATATATTGTATATATATATATATTTGTATATTGTATATATATTGTATATATATTGTATATATATTGTAAATATATTGTGTATATATATATTGTATACATATTGTAATATATATATATATATTGTGCATATATATATATTGTATATATATTGTATATATACATATATTGTATATATATATATATTGTATATATATATATATACCAAATCAAAGCATTCGAATCGATTCGAATCATGCCCAGATGATTCCCATGTGTTTTCCATTCCGATTTTTCAGGTCCCAGCAGCTGATGGTAGGAGCCCCGGTGATCTTCTGTCAGTAGCCTTCTTCTCGCTGCCGTCGTTGGGGGCGCTGGCGCACTGGTGCAATTGGGGATGAACGGCAGCATGCACCCGCGGCGCGGGACCCGGCGCGGGTTCCTGTGCCAGGGAAGAATCCTGAAATCAATAAACAATGGAAAAACGTGGCTAATAAATATAGTTCATATATGATGGTTGGATTTATATGTTCTATACTATTAGTTTGTATGCTGCTGGTAAATATAGTTCATAGATGTTCATAGTGCTAATGCTGCTAACAATGAATGATTATGGTTGGACCATTCTCTAATCCATTATCATCGTTAAAGGCAATTACTAAGAATGGATTCATGTTAATTTATCAATAGTGCTGAATACTGGCTAATCATATGATTAATAGTGATTAATAATGGTTAAAAATGTTCGTAAAGCAGTATCATAAACCACCCATTGAAGATTGATGGATATTGATGATTTATACCACTAATAAAATGAATTATTCTATTGGGGATGGTTGATTATCTCTCTTTACTAACATTAACTGGGAAGTATGGTTTGGCTCATGCTATTTCATGAGTTGGTTTCATGGTATGTGGATGATTGTTTAATGATAGTTATCACTGGATGTGCTAAACCTCGGTTCTTCCACGTGGGTTAGTCCGAAAATTTGGCGAATCCCAATATGGCCCATAACAGTTAGGTACGTAATGGTTCGTACCCTATGTTCGGACTTATCCATGTAGAAACCGGCTTTTGTCATCCTGATTTCTCAGGCAAACAACCCCAATCGATGTTCGAAACTCGCAAACTCACATCTGACCCCTCGCTACATGACCAGAGGCAAATAACCCACGAGCCACCGTCGAAACTAATACTTTACGGTGCGAAAATGTAGGCTATCATTCTCTTGGCGCCCCATCGCTCTACAGTGTTTTGTTCAAATCAAAACGAAATAATACAAAAATGCAGCGGAATTGTTTCATCAACTAGCAAAGTGTCCCTTTTTTCTGTTCTTTGGTCTTTATTGTAAAAATAGTTTATCTGTTTGCAGGAAGCATGGCTACAGAAAGAAGCAAATGGCTGAATCACTTTGGCAAAAAGATATCAATCGGATCAAATGAGTCTATCCCTGGTCTGGGGTCCTTTTTTCAACAAACGTCTACCACTACGTTATGGCTACGTCCAGCGCGAATTTTCAAACACCTTGATGATCATCAAGATTAAAAAAGTACGCTGCAACCCTGCTCCGCGCCGGAATCGTGGAAAGGCTGCGTATTTTTGAAATGCCATGTCGGTCATGTCGGTAGACTTGCGAGATGTAGATGCATATGTGATCCATGATCCACGATCATGATCTCATCCTCATCGTCATCATCATCATCATCATCATCATCATCGTCATCACCATTATCTTCTTCTTCTTCATCATCATCATCATCATCCCTTATGAAGATAAGTTGGTGCTATTCATTATTCAACATATTTGTCAAAGGGGTGGCAGATTTATGATCCCGCTTGAAAATAAAACGTTTGGGTTGATGGTATTACCCCGTTCCACAGGAGTTGACACTGATGATGGCGAAGAAAATGAAGATGAAGATGAAGATGGTGATGATGATGATTATTATGATGATGATGATGACGATGATGACGACGATGATGATGATGATGACGATGATAACGATGATAACGATGATGATGATGAGGATGAGGATGAGGATGAGGATGAGATCATGACCATGATCATGATCATAGTCATAGTCATAGTCATAATCATGATGATTGTGATAATGATGATGAGACCATGGTGACAATGGTGATGATGGTGATGATGATGATGATTTTAAGTGTGGAGCAACATTCGGGTTGGACGGGAAAAGTGAAAGGGAAAAGAAACCAAATTAAAAGAAACAAAGGAAGAAGCAAGAGCAAAATGAATAATCAGAAAGAAAACAAACATAATTCAGAATTAGATTTATATAGAATTAATAGTGCTTTAGTGGTAAGAAGCCAGCAGACAAGCCAAACAAAAGGAAATAAACGGAACAATAAAAGACAAGGGAAAGGAACTTATACGAAACAACTTAAAGCGATAGGAAAGAAGGAAAACATGGAAAAAGGACGGAAAATGAACAGAAAGACGGGGACAAGGGAGGCAAAAAAGAAAAGGCATAAATGACAAATAGTTGTTGTGCCCGTGTTTTTGGGTTATACTTTTGTTCGTTGGGGGCCTTATCGCTTCACAATGTTTGATGCATGTTCCATGGCTCCTTCTGAGTTGGTCTATGCTGATTTGACCGTACCTCATATGGAATGTCCTTATCCGGATTGCTTCACATGCTTTTTTTCCCAGAGACCCAAATAACTAATCTCAACTCACATGTCAACAGCCATCGGCAGAAAAGAAGCAGCAACTGACAGAATTAAGGTGCCACTAAATTCCACTAACAGCGGTCAGGCCTCCGCCTGTCTGAGTTTCCTCATGTCCAGCAACATCTCGTTGATGTTTGCCTTGGCCAAGCAACGAGATGACATGGCTGAGCCTTCCTCGTTGGTTGAAACACAGCGGCGTTTGGGGAAACGAAATGGTTGAAACCAACTATGGGAAAGCAACTATGGAATCTTCAGCTATGGTTTAAAAATGTTTGAAACAATCTCCAAACAAACGATTGAGCAGTTTGCCCCATGAAGTTTGGTATCCCAATTCATCGGGCAGATACCCAACGCATCCCAATCCGAGTGGCTATAGACTCTTTGAACGCCGGATCTGCGGTGTGTTTCCTCAATCTACAGGATTGTTGACTGTCAGCGATCATGACTCAAGCTGGCAAAACCATGCAAAACCATTGAACGACTTCAACCATTAAGCATCATTGGTGAGGTCTTTTGAGATCCGTATTGCCCAAATGGCTATGATTGGCTATACATATGGCTTACATCCAGTCGGATGATTGTCCCTGACTGCACCCACCTGGTAGAAAGGGCTTGTTGTTTTACGACATGGACACTGTGGGTTCGTAGGACTTCTTGCAGTCATTTTTTGCGAAATGTTCTGGGTTCATAGGATTTCCCAGATGAAAAAATTGTGATGATTCCAAATATTTCCCAATATACCGGGAAATTTATGGGATATTTTTGTTGGGTACTAGTAGCAGGTGTATAACCGCCTATCAGCAACCAACAGGGCTGTTGAACGTACCCAACATAGCAGCTTTCCAAAGGGTTGTTCCCTGGCGACCCCAAATACTTTGTGGGAAAAAAACTGAATAGATGAGGAAGTAGTATGATGTATTTCCTTGAAAGAGTGGCACTATCATCTATCTATAATAATGTGTAGGTTATAGCTGTTATATACCCTGACGTTGTCAAAATCTGCAGCCCGGCAACAGTAATTCCTCCAATCTTCCCACAGCAGCTTGCACTTCAGCCTCCGAATGCGGCCATTCACTTGCAGGGGTATGGAGTATGTTTTCCAAAAATCTCGGTTATACTTGGAAATTGCAACTTGAATGAGACAAACAAGGATAAACAACGGCATTTTGGGGTTCTCAATTTTGAGACAGCTCCATCTTAGGGGATTGGCACTGTGCTTTAAGGCCGCAACCTCATGGCTGGCTCCTAACAAAAAAACATGTGCAAGTCGTTTCCGGGGTTTGGTACAATGTTGTATCTCCAGACCTGATATTGGTTTTCATCACTGGATAAATAAATATGCTGCTTGAATTAACTTGGATTGAAGCCCCGTTGTTGCGGCAAAACCATCTAACTTTGGGCGGGTGAAACACCCTCAAAAACAATCAATCTGCTTCTGACAGTATACTGATGTGGACTGTCCATTTTGGAGGGTCCGCGTTAATCTGATTGAAATATGAAAACATCACCAACCTGAAATACGGTACTTTTTTTGGTGGTTCATGCTTCGTGTTGACATCCAGAATCAGAAATGAGGTCCTAATTCACTTGAACATGTTGGTGAAATCTAGATGAAACGTGGAAACAACATGGAAAAACCCATGGAACCACGGAAAAAAACCATCTGAAAACCCTCGTTTTCCCCCATATTCTCCGGTTATCCATCTACTGCCTCCGCTTCTTCGGTCGCTCGCGAGGGCCAAAGCATCACAGGCTGTGAGGAAGGCGGCTGCTCCATGGTCTGTCAGCGGCATGGGTTGGCCGTGGGGTTAGCAAACAAAAATGAAAAGCTATGAACACTGCATTTATAATTGATTTATGGGTCGTGTTCACAATCCATCAATGAATTACCCTCCAATAATCAAAGTTTTGTGGAAAATTGATGAACATGACCCATAAAAATAGCCATTTATAGTTGATTTGCACCGATAAAAAATGATGTGCTTCCATATCTATGTTGCCTTGACATGAATCCTACAGCATCGCCAATCATCAACACCTTGGGAGATCTGCTGCATCAACGGGATGTTCCCGTCAAACAAACACGGGCAAGTCAGTCATATCCCAATATATCCCAATTATGTACTGTATGGTGCAGTTATTTCTGCATCATTTTCCTAATCCTAGGCGAGTTTTCCACATCTATGTCAGTTTACCAAAAGGGTATGGGGATGTAAAGGACCAAACATGACCAAACATGAGCATATTTGGTGACCCCAAAACATAGCCGCTACTCGGTTGGACATTGGATGGAAATATGTTGGAATCTTCAAGGAAACATATTTTCTTGACCTGAAAAAACCTCTGCTGTCTGGATCATAATCCATTTCTTTGCATGAACTAAATAACACTAACGTAATCTAACATGTATATATATATATATTCAATGGTGAGCAAGTCGGAACAAGGTGGCTTTCACTTGGAAACGAGTTGGTAAATCCAGGATGCAACCAGTTTCCTCGTCCTCGTAATTCACAGTGACTAAGTTCATGGGTTGGTACCCTCTGGTAAACTTACAAAAAACGATGGAAAATCACCATTTTCAATGGGTAAATCCACTATAAATGGGCCGTTTTCAATAGCTATGTTGAATTACCAGAGGGTAAATGGGATGTTCCTCCAAGTATCACCTTCCAACTACACCATCCTTCGCCAAGGGACTTCAAGTTCGCTCATCGCGGCCTCGGGCCCGTGATGGGTAGGTTGTTTCATGTTGTTTCAAAACGGCAGACATGGGAAGCAACAAGATGTAATAAGGATATCATTGATATCATATGGAAAGATTGCCGGTAGACCTGGTGTCACCATGTTGAGAGAGATACAGATTTTCACATGGTTTCAAAACATCTCAAAAAAAGATAGCGCATCAAGCCAATGAGAAAGTTCATTAGCCTAATTAGCCTATGGATACCCCCAAAATCTCATTCTTTAGAATATGGGCCATTTTGGGGTGTAACCTAACCCGACCCTGACTTTGCTATGGCGAAGGACACGACACTCCATGACCCTCCGTGGAACTCGTGAAGCCTCGTGACGCAAATTTCAATGGGATGCATCCCATTTTCCGACCATCCCATTTTGCAAGTCGCCCTTTGGCAAGCTGGTACGATGTCTTACATAGCATTTTAAAAAAAATGGGTTTATTCTGGATCGATCTGCACTTGGATGGGATTCTAAACCATGTCATAGCAATCATGTCGAACTCCATGGGATGATTTTAGTAAAGCAATGATAAACCATTCATATGTTGATGATTTTATACCACCCATACAAATGGTCAATTTGCGGATGATGGATTCTATTGCTTTCCCAACATGCGTAATGAAGATGCCATGAAATCTCAAAAAATCAAAGTCCAGCAGCTTCCGGGCCAGTTGCTGTGTATTCCGACTCCATCGGGAAACCAGCCGGCGCCAATGGCCTTGGCCGCCCAAAATGGCCAGGTCACCCATTTTTATGGGTTTGCCTGGAAACAGGGTACCGCAAATCACCATTTTGGGGTACACTGCATTTCGGGAGAAACCAATCTAGGTAGTACCCTATTTGACCCCACGATTTCAAGAGAATCCGGTGCCATTTGGTAGATAACGCAGGCATACACTACCTCTCCGGCTCAGCAAAAAAAGCTGTAAATCTGGAAACGTCAATGCCCTAGTAGATCTGGAACATTTGTAAATCTGGAAACTTTAATGCCCCTAGTAGATCTGGAACTTTTGTAAATCTGGAAACTTTAATGCCCCTAGTAGATCTGGAACTTTTGGAAAATATTTGGGGACCCATGTCAGCTTTTAGTGTAGCTGAAAGTAGGCCATTACGGCCGTGAAACTGCAAGGCGTTTCAGATCATGGCAGCCAGGCATCCAATAAACATACAGAAACTACAGCCAGAAACAAATGAAAAAACCATGGTTTCCTGAAAACGATCTACAGTTGGGCAAATCTGATGGGTTTTTGCAGTTTTCCATAGATAATTATATATAAATGAAAGGTACTATGAGTTTGTACATGGGAATATACCATGAGGCTGTGTCAAAAAAAACACATTTTTTTTGACTGGAAGCTTCAGAATCCATTGGCAGGGCTACGGAAACTGAAATCGTCGTGAATTATTGGCTATACAAATTTAGAGGGAATCAGCTGTGGCCAGTTTACTTGAAAAAACAGTGTTTTACGTATATACGTTGGAAGAAGTTGGGAATTGGGACATAAAGGAAAATGTTTGAAATGTGACCAAAAAAAATGTGCACTTTGGAATACCTTTGAGATTAGGATGCAGAACCATGGGACGAGAGACACATGATTGACATGTCGTGAAAATACAATATATTGCGCGCATTTGGAATAATAGCAGCAGCATGTGGACGGGTGTTTCCAAAACAGAGTTTGGACTACAAAAGTGCTTGAGAACATCAGAATGCCGGACGGTAGGCCAAAAAAAATCTAACCTTGCAATACACTTTATGCTGACCCCAAATTCTCAATGTCTGGGGGCACCTCAGCAGAGGACATTGAACTTTCTTGGGTGTGTTGGATCAATAGGGTTTCACATTTTGTCCATCTACTTACAGAAACTCACAAAAAACACCATCACAGTGAATGCCATGCCTGCCATTCAACCGTTCACCGTTTCAACCGTTCAAATTGGACATCAACTTCACCAAAGAAAAGCAACACTCCTCCAATTCACCAACAAGGCACAAGGATTCCAAGAGTTCTGTGGCGATGCCTGGTCGTTCGAGATGGGGAATCTGTAACCCGAGTTCTCTGAGACTTTGTTTCAAGCGATAACCTTTTCATGGATTCTACCTGCAAATTTTACATGATTCTATACATATTATGATTATATCATATTATATTCATATTATATATGATAGTTGTACTTCTATATCATATACATATATATTATATGATACATATATCGAGAGATGGCAATTTCTGTCTAAATTTTAATATCCAGAAACAACCATTGGACTGGCGTTTGCCTGTGATACAGGCCTCACGGCCTGGAGAATTTCTGAAACATTTGGTTATTTTGGAATCATGCATGAAGAAAATGGGAGTAACATATTGATTACTAAACATGAGTTCATTATGTTGAATAATGGGATATCGTTCACTATAGTTTCACCTAAAGATGACGATTAAACTAAACTATATGTTATATGTTTAGTCATTTTTAGTTCCATGACGAAGTAATGATGATTACTTCAAGTCTATGAAGGTCGGTTAGAGAAACCATTCTTTCACTGCAAATCAAAACCATGCCACAGCACACGATCGGGGCATAACGAGCAATCATTACGAGAAGGTCACATGATATATGTTCAATGTTACAATGCAAGTTAAGTGGAATGTTCTCCCTCAAGGCCTACGAATGCATAGCGCCGTAGCGCCGCGAATCATACAAGATCCCTCCTAATTAAGAATAGGTTCCGGATCCAGAATAATGTAAGCAGTAATAAAATACCCATAGATGGTATTTCATGGTTTTACCATGTTATACCATCCATTGTGGGAAGTCATTGTTGATGGATCCTACTGCTTTATCAACCAGAGCTCGTCACAGCTCGGATCAGGGCGTGCTGCAATTTGGGCTGCAGCCCATGTCTAGTAAGGAGATGGGTGATTTTTGGGTTTACCATGGTTTACCCATATTAATCCCATTGATAATCGAAGGAAGTTTAGAACTCAAACTTCCGACAATATGGACAGATGAAAAGTAGAGATGGGAAGAGTCAGAGAGAAGACCAGAGAAGAGAAAGAGTCAGAAGAAAGAAGATGAAGGTGCGCGAAAAGGTAGGAAAGTCGCGAAACATTGTGTTGTGTTTTTCCAATGATGAGAGATGAAAGGTGGCACGCCCTTGTGGCGCGAATCACATGTGGAAGTCAAAATGTACAAGACACCACATGTTTCGGACTATTTTTGGAAGTTGAGATGTCGAAAAAATGCATGCCGTTGTGGTGCGAAGATGCGCGAAGCACATTTCAAAGTCAAAAAGTGTTAACAAACTGACGAAAAAACTGACGGTCTCGGAGCGCTTTTGGGATGTTTAAAAAGTGTACGCCGCTGTGGCGCGAAGCACTTTTCCAAGTCAACATGCACAAAGCACACCATGCTCGGACCACTTTTGGAAGTTGACATGTCGAAAAAGTGCACGCCGTTGTGGCGCGAAGCACATTTCGAAGTCAAGAGTGTAAAAAGATGACGGATTCGAAGCACTCTTGCACGTTCAGATGTCGTTTTGCGTGGGAGGCGCAAGGGATTGTGCACCGTGTCAAAAGTGAGCAAAACGTAAAGGTTTTATCCAAAAACGATGGCAGGCGTGGGACATTTGAAGAGGATCTGGAAAGATGCATTTTCCGTGGCAGGCGCAGTACAAGAGACATGTTCATCAGAGATGTTAGGAGGTCCGGGCGCTGATTTCCTGAGAGGGGTTGCATTTTGGAGCATCAGATCTGTAGGTTTGATGAGATGATTTGCGTGACAGGTGCAGCACTTCGTATGACCTGGCCTCACTTTTTCGTGGCAGGTGCAATACTTTAGACAGGTGGAGTGGGAAAATCGTAAAACCCATTGGTCAGAGGCCGTCAGCTCTGCACTCCACTTTCCATTTTTGAATGAAGTGTCGCAGAATGCATCGTTTTTGATGTTGTCAACTTCGAAAATCCGGAAGTCTCGCAGAATCGTTTCATTTTTGACGTTGTCAAGTTCAAAAATTAAGGAGGTCTTGCAGAATTGCTACGGTTTCGATGTTGTCAAGTTCCAAAACTGGGGAAGTCTCGCAGAATTGCTGCGTTTTTGAGTTGTCAAGTTCAAAAATTGAGGAAGTCTCGCAGAATAGCCTCGCTTTCAAACTTGTAGATAGCTATATAGATAGATAAAGATAGATAGATTAGGTTTGATTTGATTAGATTTGATTTGATTAGATTAGATTTAGTAGACTGAGAAACAGAAAGACAAATAGATAAACAGGAAGACAAATAGACAAACAGATATACAAATAGACAGATAGATAGACAACTGCAACTGCACTACACCAAACTGCAACTACAACTTCAACTACAACTACACTACCACTACACCTACAACTTCAACTACACTTCACCTACACTTCAACTACGAGAACTACAGCTACTACCACAACTACAACTACAACCTCAACTACAAACTACAACTACAATTACCAGTAGTACGGCACAAGGCGGTGGTGGAAGTTTCAAAAATAGGAAACCTATAGGAGAGGTTGGTTGTTGTGAATCACGGATGGCAGAGCGAAGCCACTGATGGACCGAAAGGTGGTTGGAGCTATGTTTTTTGGAGTGGCTGCAATGGTTGCAGTGGTCACCTGGTCGGTCACCTCACACACAACTGCTGGATGCAGTGTGGTGTAGTGCAGCTGTAGTTGTAGTTGTAGTGGAGTGGAGTTGTAGTTGTGGTGTAGTGTAATTAGTGTAGTGCAGTTGCAGTTGCATTTGTGGTGGTGTAATGAGTGTAACGTTATGTAATGTAATGTAACGTAATGTAATGTAATGTAATGCAATGTGGGGTAGGGTAGTGTAGTGTAGTATAATTGAGTGTAGTGTGGTGTGGTGTGGCGTGTTGTAGTGTGGATAGTGTAGTGTAGTGTGTTGTAGTGTAGTGTAATGCAAATAGTGTAGTGTAGTGTAATGTAGTGTGGCATACTGTAGTGTAGTGTAGTGTGTTGTGCAGTGTAGTGTGTTGTGCAGTGTAGTGTAGTGTGGTGTAAAGCAATTAGTGCTGTTGTAGTTGTAGTTGTAGTTGCAGTTACAGTTCCAGTTGCAGTTGTAGTTGTAGTTGTAGCTGTAGTTGTAGTGTAGTGTAGTGCAGTGTAGCGTAATGTAGTGTAGTGTAGTTTCGCGTGGTGTAGTGTAGTGTAGTGTAGTGTAATTGAGTGTAATTGAGTTTAGAGTAGTGGAGTGTAGTGTAGTGAGGTGTAGTGTAGTTTAGTGGAGTGTAGTGAAGTGAGTGTAGTGTAGTGTAGTGTAGTGGACTGTAGTGAAGGTGTAGCTGTAGTGTAGTGTATTGGATTGTAGTGTGGTGTAGTGGTGGTTGAAGTTGAAAATGCTACAAAAACCCTTACGTTTTGCTGACTTTTGACAAAATCCACAATCCCTTCCGCCTGCCACGCGAAACGACATCTGAAAGTCCAAAAGTGGTCCGAACACCTGGTTTTTTTCACATTTTCACTTCGAAATGTGCTTCGCGCCACAACGGCATGCACTTTTTCGACATCTCAACTTCCAAAAGTGGTCCGACGCTGAGGTGCTTTGTACATTTTGACTTCGAAATGTGCTTCGCCCCACAACCGCGTGCACTTTTTCAACAGCTAAACTTCCAAAAGTGGTCCGAAAGTGAGGTGCTTTTAGCTTTTCCACTTGCAAATGTGCTTGAGGTGCTTTTAGCTTTTCCACTTGCAAATGTGCTTCGCGCCACAACGGCGTGCACTTGTTCGACATCTCAACTTCCAAAAGTGGTCCGAACGTGAGGTGTTTTTAGCTTTTTCACTTGCAAATGTGCTTCGCGCCACAACGGCGTGCATTGTTTCGACATCTCAACTTCCAAAAGTGGTCCGAGAATGGTGTGTTTTGTACATTTTGACTTTGAAATGTGCTTCGCGCCACAACGGCGTGCAACTTTTCATCTCTCATCTGGCCAGCTGGCTCCGCACCCGCCGCTTTAGCGAGCCTACTTTCCGACCCTCCGGAGCCACAAATCATTGGAAAAAAATGTTTCGCGACTTTCCTACCTTTTCGCGCACCTTCATCTTCTTTCTTCTGACTCTTTCTCTTCTCTGATCTTCTCTCTTCTCCTCTTCTCTTCTCTCTGACTCTTCCCGTCGCTGCTTTTCATCTGTCCATATTGTCGGAATTTTGAGTTCTAAACTTCCTTCGACAAGTGCCACTACACCTACAACTGCAACTACAACTGTAACAACTACTGCGACTACAAAACAACTGCAACTGCAACCACAGCTGCAACTACAACTGCAACTACAACTTCAGCTACGCTACAGCTACACTTCAACTACAACTTCAACTTCAACTACACAACTACAAAAACAATTATCCCGACACTACACTACAACTACAATTACAACTTCAACTACAACTACACTACAGCTACAACTACAGTTATATCTACAACTACAACTCCTACAACTTTTGCAACTACTACAATTACTACAATTAAGACAATTAAGACAATTACAACTTCAACTACAACAACAACTACCACCACAACTACAACATTACAACTTCAACAACATCAACCCCACTACAACTACAACAACATCAACCCCACTACAACTACAACAACTAGAACTACAACTACTGCACTACACCACACTACATCCAGCAGTTGTGTGTGAGGTGACCGACCAGGTGACCACTGCAACCATTGCAGCCACTCCAAAAAGCACAACTCCAACCATCTTTCGGTCCATCAGTGGATTCGCTCTGCCATCCATGCATCGCAACAACTCACCTCTCCTATAGTGTCCTATCCTTGAAACTTCCGCCACCGCCTTGTGCGGTACTGGTACACTTACCAACTAACCATCCCTGCACAGTGAGGTGCCACTTGTTACTCTTCCGTAAGCTGGACATGGACAATCTACGAAAGAACTTTTATTCCTATGGCATTATGGCACTCTACGCCATAAACTGGTGGGTTGACTAGACTAGGTTCCAACCCATGATCAAGCTTGTTGGATGTTAACTCCTTGGGCTGTAGCTAAATCAAATGGAACGCTGGTCGAGTCAATATGTTTGCTGGATAAATTGCCATTTCAGACCAGCAGCGCGAAGTCACACCAAAACTTATGTTTTTGATGTTTCTGTTGGCTACAATACACCAGCAATGCATCTGAATGGTCATGCACACATTTTGCTGAACAGATCTACAGTAGGAGATGTGGTCAACCCAACAAGCGCTACATCCTGGGGATGGTTGGGATGGTTGGTCCATGAAGCGCCAAAAAGGTGCAATGATCCCATTTCCGACCATTTTTGATTGCAAAAAGATAGGTTGCAATACGACTGACCTTTTTGGATGTGCATCCCTTTCTGAAAGTGATTCATGAAAACATCAAGTTATGATCAAGTTTTGCCAAAAATCCCCAGTTCTATAGATTACTAGTACTTATTAGCCCCAATCTCCAGCACTTCCAATGATGTTTTTTTTGCAAGAATAGAGGGGCCAGTTGCCATACCTCGATGAAACCAGTACTTAAACATATACTGGTTGGTGGTATACCTACCCCTCTGAAAAATATTAATCAGTTGGGATTATTATTCCCAATATATGGAAAAATAAAATTCATGTTCCAAACCACCAACTAGTATATACATATATATAGCTTCGTATTATCATCTCGTATCGGACAAAATTTTGATTATGCCATGCGCAAATAGGGTATACGCAAGTAGAGTTGTCCCTTACTGCGAAGGCTTTGCACACCTGGCAGCAATGCCAAGACGAAGCAAGATGTTTTAGCGGTCATAGAAATTCAAACAGCATGGTTGTTGTTTATTGTTACCCTCTGGTAAACATACAAAAAGCTATTGAAAATGGCCATAGAAATAGTGGATTTACCCATGAAAAATGGTGATTTTCCAGTTCGTCATGTTAGTTTACCAGAGGGTATCATTCCCAGAATTCATTGGATCCACAATCCCTGGGCTCCCTGGAGCCATAACCGGTCCCCTGAACTGGGTGGTCCCTAAGCTACTTCTATGCTGTCTATAAGTTGTAAGCTACAAGCCAACATCCACAAGAAAAACCAGCCACTTCAAATTCCTGGGATGATCCAAGGATTGTTTATATCTTCCATGGCTAAAAATGAACTTAAATCCCTCCAAGCTATGGCCAAGTTTCCTACGGAGTCATCAATCTTCGTTGCGTCACCCACGGAACGCTCCGAATCATCCATCTTCGATGACGATACCTGCTGGGAGCCCTCAGAGTAGCTGCGGAGAGCTGACTCAGTTCTGATGGGCTAATGTGGAGCTGTTTACGGGGCAAATCTGGGGCAAAAAATGTGGTTAGTCCATTTCTGCATGGCAAAGAATAAAGCTATCATTCCAATCGTTGGATTCAGCATGTCTTTTAAAGCTCAAAAAATCACCAATTCGGAGATTGGTAGTTGACTTTCCACATTTTGTCTAACACAGATGTTGGTTGCTTATAAGAAAAAACACGGCACAAACCTCACAACGATGGTGATGAAGATGACATTTTGATATTTGAAAATGTTCGCCTTTTACTGACCCAAAACCAGCTTTCCCAAGCTACGAGTACTCGGAGGATCCCAGAAATCGTAACGGGTGACACCCTGATCCAAAGTCCGCATTCCTGGGATTTATACTTATCACTGAGTGAACTGAAGTTAGTTAAGCCATACTAAGCCACTTCTTTAGACAGCTCCCAGTGGCCCAGTGTTTCCCCAGTCAGACCATCAGACCAGGACATCCCAGTGGCCAAACGTCGAGCCATCTCAGCAAAATGCCTCAGCATTTTAACGGCCAAAAAAGTGGCCAAAAGGGATGGCCAATTGGGAGGATTTCCAGACATCACTGGAAAATTCACTGGAAACATGACGGCAGCAAATTCGGGTTCACTGTTGGTTTCCAGGCACATCTCTCACTTTTGCAATGCAGGAGTGGATTCACAATCACCCCCTAGTTTTGCCAACGGTTTGTATCCAACCAATGGCTGTAATCACAGAGGATAGGACCCAAACATTGGGGGTTGCCTTCCAGACATTTCACGGGCGGCTGGAAATTCTCCGAACTAAATGGAGGTTTGTAGCTGGGAAAAGCGATAAATGGAGGGCTTTCCATTGCTATCTTTGACTACCAAACGGTAAAGTCCCTCCAAGAAAACCCCACACATTGTGATTATCATATCCCAGCGATTCACGCCAAAAAAATCCCCATGATGCGTATGGGCCAAACTTGATGTCCCTCACAAAATCTTTGCTACAATGGCCAGTCAATCTGTCGATCCTTTGGTCCAAAATCTATACTCTTGGCTTGGAAAATCTTAGTTTTTGCAGGGAAGTGTACATGAGACCTTCTGTAAACCTTCCTCAAAACCACTTCTGCGATCATTCACCTTGGGAACAAGCTTTACTTTCAGGATTGGAAATCATTGATCGTTTTGACTGGGGCAAAACAAGTTTGCGGATTTTTTTCGTCTTTCCCCCTCGACCCAGCGGCTTCTCCATGCTTTTCCGTAAACTCGCTTGTCCCTCTCGGATCCTCAAACCGTGGTGTCAATGAGCAAAAGTTTCTACAAATCCTATGAAGATGGGAAATACAATTGACAGGAGCAACCAAAATAATATCAATTTGAACCAGGTATTTCATGGTGGCTGGCTACACAACTAGTCTAGCCATCGAATTCTGAGTGCATATATATATATATATTTATTTCACCGACTTGTTGGTCTTTGAGCGAAATTCGGGATATCTACAGGAAGTTGTGTAAGGCCTACAGTGTGGTTGTTGAAATATCCTCCAAACTATGGCATGAAAGTTTAGTAGAAGACATCCTTTAAGAACTCAAATAGATAATTCATTTTTGTGTTGCAACAGCTGGGCCGATCGACAATTCAAATTTCGTGGAGGATGCAGTGAAATATTCATCTTTTTAAGGACTGAAATGGATTCTAATTGCTTAATGGATTCTATTTGATTAATGGATTCTATTTGATTATCTGCATGTTGCCAAATTCAGATGGCAATTTTGGAGTATACCCCACTCTTGGACAACACTCTGTGGCAACTCAACGTGGCAGTTCACCCTGGTCCCTCGACATTCAGCCCTGACAGGTGGCTCGTGTTGCTCATTCATCAACCGCATCATGTTGTATTTGATAAATCCTTGGAACCCAACGATGCCAGCCAGACAAGGGATCTGGCACCCTGTTTATAAACCTCCATAGAATTCCGGGTCCAAGTATAGTATATCCAATGCCTTTAAGTAGTTCACATTGTATAGTTCATACATGTATGTATATGTATGTATATGTATGTATGTATATGTGTGTATGTATGTATGTATGTATGTATGGATGGATGGATGGATGGATGGATGGATGGATGGATGGATGTATGTATGTATGTATGTATGTCTGTATATACAGAGGGAATCACAAAACACACAATTTTGAGAAACATGTCGACCTTAGATTCAGAACTCACAGTTGGTGGGATGTGATCCGTTAAAAATTGCGTTGCCTAACACACCAAGTTGGGGTTTGTAATACAAATATCCTGTGCTGGGAGCATGTGATTTGGAGCCAGATTGCAGACTTCAAAACTAGGGGTGTGCAATTGATCTGATCAACGTGGATGGTTAGTGAGTGAATTTTCACGTTTTCCTTCCGGAACGCCACCACTTCAGGGAATTCTATCAAATCAAAACATATCAATTTCAATACCGTCCAGTGTTCAAACACAAACAGAGAGGGAAAAATTAGGCACCCCCTGGTGGGCTGAGCAACACCAGGCAGCGCACCCTGCAAAACCTGGCCAATGCTGATCATCTCGGTCGTCAGAAAAGATTCACGAAGCAAAACTGGCAAAACAATGTGTGACACATGTATATTCATTTAATTTCATTTATATGCATGCATGTACGATGTTTTATTTAATTATTTATTTTTGTATTTATTTATATCCGCATTCATTTGTAAATAAAATATATATATATATATTTAATATTATATATATGACAATATATATATATATATATTGCAATATAGTGTGAGATATTATATTTTGATATACTATGATATATTATGATATATTATGATATATTTGATATATTTTGATATACTATGATATATTATGATATACTGTGATATATGGACCTAAACAGAATTTGTTTTTCGCCGGTCGCAGCGTGGTGCTGCCAAGGGGCGTGGAGCGGTCTTGCTGTCGTGCACCCAGCGGCTCAAAGGTTTGATAAATTCATTCGGCTCAATGAAACCACTCCCATCAGTGTCCTTGGTATATAGTGTTTTTCATTGGCTATTGGATGTTTTTGACTTTTGGTTGGGTCACTGTGTTTTTAATGCTTCTTATTCCTCCTACAAAGCTGTTCCCACATCTATAAGTAGGAGAAATGGAGTGCATGGTCTAAATATGTTTACCAAAAGCTGGCCATGTATCCAGTTTTTAACATCCTTCACTCTCAGGACCTGGTTCAATTTCTGGCAATACGCACATTCTGAATGATTTTTTTGGTGATCCACGTTTTGATTCACAAATTGTTTGTGAATATGTTTTTTTGGAAAATCCAGTTTGTCATCAAGCAAAACATCTTTTGGAATCTGCGGGCCTCCCAGCGTATTTTGTGGATGTTGTGTTTTTGTGATACATCTTGTGATAGCTCTAGCTTCAGCCATAGATTGCTCCTTCGACGGGTTGTTGTTTTCGCTGCCCTGTATACACCCCCACCCCCTAATGGTCGTAGTACTCGTAGTTGTAGTATAGTGGTAGTAGTAGTCGTCGTAGTCGTAGTAGTAGTCGTCGAAGTAGTAATGGTGGTAATATTCGTGGTAGTATCCGTAGTAGTATTCGTAGTAGTACAGATTCGTAGCATGCGTAGTGTTAGTAGCATTCGTAAAAGTATTTGTATCACGTACTATTCGTAGTATTCGTAATATTCGAATGTATATTCATAGTAGTCGTAGTAGTCGTAATAGTCGTAAAAGTCGTAGCTAAGTAACTATAAAGTAGTAAAGTATAGTAGTGGTGGTAGTAGTGGTAGTAGTAGTCGTCGTCGTCGTAGTAGTCGTAGTCGTCGTAGTCGTAGTAGTCGTAGTAGTGGTAGTAGTCGTAGTAGTCGTAGTAGTCGTAGTCGTCGTAGTCGTCGTAGTCGTCGTAGTCGTCGTAGTCGTCGTAGTAGTCGTAGGTCATAGTATAGTTGTATAGTTGTATAGTTGTCGTCGTAGTCGTCGTAGTCGTCGTAGTCGTCGTTGTCGCCGTAGTAGCATCATAGCATCATAGCATCATGGCATCATAGCATCATAGCGTCATAGTATCATAGTATCTTAGCTTCATATTTTCATAGTATCATAGCATCATAGCATCATAGCATCAGAATACCATCGTATCGTAGTATTGTGGTATCGTGGTATGGCAGTAGTAGCAGTAGTAGCAGTAGTAGTAGTAGTAGTAGTAAAAGTAAAAGTAAAAGTAACTGCAACTTTGGTCAGTTCAAGCTCCATTTGGAAGTTTCCTAAAATAGGGCTACCCCTAAATCATCCATTTTAATAGGGTGTTCCATTACAAACCATCCATTTTGGGTACCGCCATGTATGGAAACCCCCATTTGATGATTTAGAAAATACTGCTGTTCGCTACATCCACCCCATCCAAGTGTCGATCATGTCAAAAAGCTGAACTAAGTCTGCCTGGTCGTTCAATGCGCGCATTGAGAACAGGATCATCTGTCAGTATGAAATGCTCCTGGTATCCCCAGGTATGGTATTGAAGTAATTTGAATGTAAACTTCATATGGGATCTAAAAATATAGATATATTGAAAGTCAAAAAACAATTCTTTATATGACGTGGGATACTGTAGGAAATAAGGGGTCTATGAACCTACCATGGTGTTTCTACCGCAAAATGTCTTGTGATGACTATGTTGAACTTCTCCCAAATCCATTCTATTCGATTTCAATTGAAATTCAGTGAGTTTCTCCAACAAAACTGGAGACACGAAACGTACGAGGCACATTAATAAAGCACGACCATTCGGTCACCTTCTGTTCGAATCAGCCTTCATCTTCATCTAAAATATCCATGAGTATGGTGCTACCTTCATAACAAGTTCATTCAAGTTAGCGCTTCTTGGGGAAATACCCATATTATCCCATGTTGACATGAATTTTTGACATTCTGGGGCAACTCCCTAGGTTAAACGGGAAATCGGACCGGATGGATTCTCTTGTGAGTCAGGTGCACATATCTATGTAAATGTGTGTGTACATTTAAACGTGCGTGCGTATATGCACAATATATACAAAAATATGTATATATAAAAATACGTGCGTATATATACATATACATAAATAATGTATATATGTGTGAGTGTGTGTATGTGTGTATGTATGTATGTATGTATGCATGTATGTCTGTATGTGTGTATGTATGTATGTATGTATGTATGTATGTTCATGTATGTAAATATATAAATATATATACATATGTATGTATATATATGATATGTATATTTGTATGTATATGTATGAATATGTATGAATATGTATGTGTATATATATATATATGTTTAGACTTAGATATATGTTTAGATATACGTATTTGTATGTATATATATATGTATGTAAATATATATATATATGTATATGCATGTATATTTATAAATATATGTAATGAATGTCTGTAAGTATGTCTGTATGTATGTATGTATGTATGTATGTATATCAATATGTATATATATGTAAATATATGTATATGTGTAATTTATGTGTATATATATATATATTTGTATATATATACATATATTTGTATATATAGATGTATATATATATATACGTCGTATACATATGTGTGTGTATATTTTTAATGACATCCATAAATACATGCACATGGAGGTGTCCCAAAATAGGGGTACCCCTTAATCATAATCATCCATGTGAATAGGGTTTTCAACTATAAATCATCCATTTTGGGGCACCTCCATGAATGGAAACCTTTACGTACATATTATGTCCAGTCTTGCTGGCATCTTAAACAAATTGGTACGGCTGGCTTTGACCTGGTTGAGGCACAATAGTGTACTTGAAACCACAAACACAAGTTACAGTCTATGATTTATTTATAACCTCAACTTACATTATTGCTGGTGAAATCCTGTTGTTGATTAAATTATCGTTGATGGGAAATATGATGGCTAACCGTGATATTTTGAGGTACACCGTACACCCCACTTCTGGATACACCCATATCATTTCGTAATTCTATCCAATTCTTAATATGTATTAATCGTACGGCTGAACTAAAGTCATTCACTAATCTGAAATTAGCTGAAATAAGACCTTTTAGGGATTATTCCCCTTAATAACCATCGTTCCAGTGACGCCACGACATGAGGTCATTAATGGTCATTATACTTCATCCAGAATTATATTGCCAAACTGGCGGTTCTATCCCCATGTTCTATCATTTTCTCAGTACTATCTCACGCTTTTAACACAGAGAGTTAGTTTGATCATGATTATACCGGCACAAAAGCAGCCCGCACACCAGATCAGCACCACGCGCCTCATCAATATCCATCACTCTTAAACGGCTCTGAAATTCTTGGTCTTTACGGGCACCCTGGCGTGTTTTGACAATCCAAGCAAAAAAGGGGGCAATGAATGAAGCATGTGACTTGCCTGGATTTCACCAGCAAACGCAGGGAGTAAGCACCAAAACTGCTGCGTTGACCCAACAAGAATTGGGATTTCACAAATGACTTAACATGATTTAATGTGATTTAACAAAGAATCATGAGGATTTTAATGCCAAAACAGTTGGTTTATCTTCCAAACATGATCAACCGTGGGTTTCAAACCACCAAACATGGGGATTGAACCAACTAAAACGAGTTTGTCCTATGGGGACATGTCAAGATTTGAGGCAACCAGTGGGCCACCAGGGTGTGACGTTTCATGATTTTGGATTCAGACCCTAAAACATGAATATCGCACTACCAGGACCGAGGACAAAGACCAGCTGAAAGATCTACACAAACAGTGTGTCATGCTTGGAACTCTCCCCGCCCACCACGGCTCAGATGTTTGGACGATGTTGGAAGTAGATGAGGCATTAGGTATGCAAGTTCCAAAAAAAGGACATCCGTGAACAAAGGTGAAGCCTTCACAGTTTCAAACCAGGACATGCTTACAGAGTTGGCATCCCAGCATCCAGTTTAGGGGCTCAATAATTATCCCGGCAAGAGGCCCAAACAGTGTGGGGGGAGTAACAGGATAAAGTTTTAGAATGCTAATGATGATGTTAACTGATGTTGAAGATGATGTTGATGATAATGGTGATGTTGTTGATGATGATGATGGTGATGAGGATGGTGATGATGATGATGATGATGGTGATGATGATGACGATGGTGATGGTGAGGGTGATGATGATGCTGACGATGGTGGTGGTGATGATGATGACGATGATGATGGTGGTGATGACGATGATGGTGACGATTGTGATGATGAGGTTGAGGAGGAGGATGTTGAGGAGGAAGACCGATCCCAAGACGGGGAAGCACACTTTGTGCGAGCATGCGCGGGCAACACGCGCGTGGACATTTCACAAGAGCCATTTTGTATGGAAATTTACCGGCAGAATGGCCGTGGACGCCTCCGGGGACATCGTTTTGTGGGAGCCTGCGCAGTCGAAATGCACATGGACAGAGTACAAGAGCCATTTTGTATGGAATTTTACCGGGAAAATGCCGGACGCCCCAGATACCACCTCAATTGAACACCGGGCCTTAAGTGTTACCGTAAGAACCCCTGTGGCGTGCGGCCAGTGTTTGGGGAAAAAGGTTTCCAGCTGTTTCGTCGCTAAAACTTCCGTTCGAACCCAGTTTTCAGCCGTTCAACCCCTGTATCAAAAATATCATCTATAGATGTCTATGGCACAACCCAATTGTTGGCTGGTCAGCTGGTCACATTCCATAATTTGCTGGTTTAACACTTGAGCACTTATTTATTTGCAAGTGGAAATAGATATATTCTACATGCTATGACATCTTTGCTCATTAAATCCCCATCATTTTCCTTGCCGGGATCCAGTTCAAGTTGGCAAAGGGTAAACTAGAGCCTTTTCCATCTGCGACCCTCTCAAGAAAAGGCACTGGATCGGTCTGTCTGACCATTCTAAGCAACCCCCACTTGTGTATAATCATTTGGTAGACCCTTACCAATGAACCATACCCATCCACATCCCATGTTTACCATCTTGGGAGGTATTAGAAGCCATTTCCGGAAAAATGAAAATTGTTCATGGCAGGAGGCTTTCAATGTTCCCGGCCGATCTTAGATACCAACCGCTCAAAAAATCAAGTCCGCAAATATTGACTTGTTATACTGTGGTGAGTCCATGTAAGTCCAAGAATAAACCATACTCAATTTTGACAAAAATGAGTGGCAGGTATCAATAGAATCTGCAGCTTTATTGTTGATATTGTCGGGTTTACCACGGTTTATCACATGAATAATTACCCTCCAGTAAATGAACATAGACCATGGCAGATAGGGGTTGGAAGATTAGTTTCACTAAAAAATTGTGAGTTTCAGGGTCAAAGTGTTAATTTACCAGAGGGCAAGTTGCATTTAACTACCCTTCACCAGTTGGCAACCAGTCTGCAGGCCTCCACGAGCTGCTCTAAGCTAAGCTGACCACATCCATCCTGACTACGCGGTAAGCTCTTGACATATCCTCATGAACATGGCAGGAAAGAAGAGTTATGTTTTTGGGAACTACCTGAACTACCAAGATGTACTTCAAATGGGCTTCAATCATTTTGAGCCTGGATACTACTTGAGAATGATTGGCTCATGAGATCACTCATGCTACAGGACAAAATCCGGCAAGACAATTCAGCTACCAAGCATTCATGGCCTTTACATGCCTTTACACCTTTATTTTCCAAGTGTTGACACGCCAAACTATGGTAGAGTCTTTTGTATCATGGGTTCGTCTGAAGATAGGGTACTGTACATACCCCCAAATCCAATGGTTTATCATCATGAAAATGTAAAAAATGGGGCGTACCCCATATAATTCAAAAGCATTCATGTCCAAATCTCTCTTGTTACCTAGCCGTTATTTGTGGGCTGGTTCATCATACTTGAGCTACGAAGCTCGTAGCTGTTCATTGAATTCATAAAAGGTTTCTTCAATTGGTCCTATGACCACACGAAGGGCCCCCAAACGCCCCAAACAATAGGCAAGTTGCAGAATTCTGGTGGATAGATGATGGATATATTGGACTAGATGGGGCTATAAACCAATTTCTAGGTGGCTTTTACAATCTTTGGTGCCCCTCCTAAGGTGGTAAAATCGTTGGCTTTCAAGACCCCTGCGACCCTTATCACCATCAAATAGGGGTATAGCAACTATGTCTGATCAAGTTCACAATTAATATAGGGCTAAAACCCGTTGAGCTTCTGTAAACCAAGCTTTGATAGTTTCAGGTTATAAGCATAAACACTGATGCCGTTAAGCCATTTTTTGTTTTTTCTGGGTTGTTGAGTTTATGCACAAAAAATTCGCCCAGCTGTGACAACCTGCTGCCATGACACAAGATCGATTCGATTAAAAATCCGTTCCAAGTACCTGACATCACTGAGATACGGACCACGGCGACTACGCACTGCCGCGCCCGGTCAAGTGACCGGTCATCATCTTGGTCTCTGACTGGGTCATATGGGTTATAATCCATAGTTATTAATGTAGATAGATCACCAACAACAACCAATTACTATAGATATATCGCCAACAAAAATCAATTACTATAGATAGATCACCAACAAAAACCAAGTACTATAGATAGATCACCAACAAAAACCAATTACTATAGATAGATCACCAACAAAAACCAAGTACTATAGATATATCACCAACAAAAACCAGTTACTATAGATATATCGCCAACAAAAACCAGTTACTATAGATAGATCACCAACAAAACCAATTGCTATAGATATATCACCAACAAAAAACAATTTCTATAGATAGATCACCAACAAAAACCAACTACTATAGATATATCACCAACAAAAAACAATTTCTATAGATAGATCACCAACAAAAACCAATTTCTATAGATATATCACCAACAACAACCAATTACTATAGATATATCACAAACAAAAACCAATTACTACAGATATATCACCAACAAAAACCAATTACTACAGATATATCACCAACAAAAACCAATTACTATAGATATATCACCAACAAAAACCAATTTCTATAGATAGATCACCAACAAAAACCAATTTCTATAGATAGATCACCAACAAAAACCAATTACTATAGATATATCACCAACAAAAACCAATTACTATAGATATATCACCAACAAAAACCAATTACTATAGATATATCACCAACAAAAACCAATTACTATAGATATATCACCAACAAAAACCAATTACTATAGATATATCACCAACAAAAACCAATTACTATAGATAGATCACCAACAAAAATCAATTACTATAGATAGATCACCAACAAAAATCAATTACTATAGATATATATATATACACATCACCAACAACAACCAATTACTATAGATATATCACCAACAAAAACCAATTACTATAGATATATCACCCCAAAAAAACAATGACTATAGATATATCACCAACAATAACCAATTACTATACATATATCACCAACAAAAACCAATTACTATAGATATATCACCAACAAAAACCAATTACTATAGATATATCACCAACAAAAAACAATTGCTATAGATAGATCACCAACAAAAACCAATTGCTATAGATATATCACCAACAAAAACCAATTACTATAGATATATCACCAACAACAACCAATTACTATAGATATATCACCAACAAAAACCAATTACTATAGATATATCACCAACAAAAAACAATTACTATAGATAGATCACCAACAAAAACCAATTGCTATAGATATATCACCAACAAAAACCAATTACTATAGATGTATCACCAACAAAAACCAATTACTATAGATATATCACCAACAACAACCAATTACTATAGATATATCACCAACAAAAACCAATTACTACAGATATATCACCAACAAAAACCAATTACTATAGATATATCACCAACAAAAACCAATTACTATAGATATATCACCAACAACAACCAATTACTATAGATATATCACCAACAAAAACCAATTACTATAGATATATCACCAACAAAAACCAATTACTATAGATATATCACCAACAAAAACCAATTACTATAGATATATCACCAACAAAAACCAATTACTATAGATATACCACCAACAAAAACCAATTACTATAGATATATCACCAACAAAAACCAATTACTATAGATATATCACCAACAAAAACCAATTACTATAGATATATCACCAACAACAAATAACTATAGATATATCACCAACAACAAATAACTATAGATATATCACCAACAAAAACCAATTACTATAGATAAATCACCAAGAAAAACCAATTACTATAGATATATCACCAACAAAAACCAATTACTATAGATATATCACCAACAAAAACCAATTACTATAGATATATCACCAACAAAAACCAATTACTATAGATATATCACCAAGAAAAACCAATTACTATAGATATATCACCAAGAAAAACCAATTACTATAGATATATCACCAACAAAAACCAATTACTATAGATATATCACCAACAACAAATAACTATAGATATATCACCAACAACAAATAACTATAGATATATCACCAACAAAAACCAATTACTATAGATAAATCACCAAGAAAAACCAATTACTATAGATATATCAATTACTATAGATATATCACCAACAAAAACCAATTACTATAGATATATCACCAACAAAAACCAATTGCCATAGATATATCACCAACAAAAACCAATTACTATAGATATATCACCAACAAAAACCAATTACTATAGATATATCACCAACAAAAACCAATTACTATAGATGTATCACCAAGAAAAACCATAGTTTTTGGACTTATTGGCACCAAGTATTGGATTTGTCATCGACTGGGCCATCCCAAAAATGGAAAAAAACACAACTGTGGTACACCCTTTCCCATAGGATCTATAAATGGGCCATCTATACCATGGCTATGTTAAATAACCAGAGCGTATGTCACAAATTACTAGATGGTATTATCCCATAGGATCCATGGTGCTGCTATATATGGTAACATGATTCCCATCAATATACCCCAGTCATGTTAGCATATATACCAGCACCATGGATCCGTCATGGGTTTGTATCTTGCCAAGCTGAAAGAACACCTCACTGAAAGTCACTTCCGGGATCGACCACGGGTCAATCGCAGGGATTCCAATCTTCGGATTCTGATTTTTTTCGAGTCGCTTCAGGAGATCTCAGTCTCCATGCAGGTGAAACTGAAATCCGGGAAAACTCGAAAAAAACTGACCGAGTTTCTGAAGGATCATCCCATCGTAGCCCAGTTTCTGGTGTCTGTTTTAATGGGAATAGCACCGATTCGAGTTATTGAAAAATGTGGAATATCACTTACATTATACATTATGTTCTATACATTTCTATACACTGTGTTCTTTTGAGCTACCCTATTCACAGCAGTGGTTAGTCATTAATCACCCATCAACTATGCAAAAAATATCCATTACTGTATATATATAATCATAATAATATAGTACTCCATTCATTATCTCATGTCACAACACCGCCGGCGGCTTCAGCTCAAGCTGCTGCTTGTCGGATTCGCGATCTTGCTCCATCTCTTCCGCGAGATTTAAAATATCTCTCTCTCTCGAATCTGCGAAGGTATCAACCACCTGGTGTGTTGCAAAGAAACGGGCCGCGGGGTGGTGGGAGAAAACGGGGAAGTTGAGACAACATTTTGTAAGGGAACCATTGGATAATGAAAGTTGATCATCAAAATATAAAGAACATTATCACAATGGGGGACTGCGATATTCTTCGTTTTTGGAACGTATGATTTAAACCATGCCAATAGGGTCCATATTGGACAACTTGTATAGATACAATTGATGAATGGTTGGCCAAGAAAGACAATACACTGATATACCTACGAATTCGGCAGACTTTTTAGGCCATGTAAAGGGTGGCAAGAATGTAGCTTGTTGGTTTCACTGCTCAACATGCGTGTATGATCGTGTATGCATATGGATCCTTCAACAAACATCCAATTCATGTAATGAATATCAATCACTGTGAAAAGCGGGAGATGACTTCAAAATGGATTCCCTCAAACACTGAATAACACATTATGTTATAATATTATAATAATTACCAACATTCTTCACCTATGCAAATCGAACACCCAACAAATACGAACTTGTTCCATGCTCAGTTCGAACCTAAAGACTAGGATAGCAGCATTGTTGTGATGTTCATCTAATGTCATTGGGAGCTATCTTTAACTCAACAATCACGTTCGATGCCACTACCGGGACTACCGTTTGGTACTTCGACTTCTCGAAGCTTGTGACCAAAAATGTTGGATGTCCATTGCGTCCCCTCCGGCTTTTCCATCCAAAACACGACTGCAACGATCAAGTTCAAAACGCCGAAGACCAGAGTCAGTTGAGATCCCACGAAAATAATTGCAGTTGCTGGATATGCCCTCAGCTGACTCAGCGTGGTGCGGTTCTATGAACCGCTTGGATAAGCCAAAAGGATCCAGCAATTGATTTTGTTGGTTCCTGGATTGACTGGAATGGGTGTGCAATAGAATTTGCCCCAATTACAAAAGGTTTGCCTGACAACTTCAGGCATTCTCGGAATGCCAAAAAAATGCTGGGTAGATGCTTTAAAAACTTTGGCGACTGAACATGACCAGCAAACAGGGCGATGATTCTTGCGGATCCTTCCAATTGGAAGGTAATACAAAATTATTACGTATGTGATCATATTGGTGTTCCGGAAACTGAGAGAACCAGCAGCACCGTTGCGCTTCCAATCAACTTCAGGAACTAAGTACTGCAATTTCTTCTTATTGCGCAGCAGTTCGCTATAGGCTAGAGTATGCTATAGTCAGAACAGTGGCTCTCACGTTCTGACTACAAGCCTCAATGAGTTGATCGAAACCCAAAAAATAGCCACTCCAAATAGATAGAAAAGCTGGGAACCTGGAAATATGTGAAAGGCAAATGTAGATCTGGAACAGATTTAGAAAAAACAACAAATCTCTGTATAATCCCTTTTTGGGACCGCATAGAATCAACATGTCGCATCTTCTTTGCCACAGCGTCTCGATGACAGGGACGGCAATTCTTCCCCAGCTGTCACCGGCAATGACCGTTTTGAAAAGTAGCAGGTTCCTGGGCGACTCTTTTCAGAGGGTAAACTGGTAAACAAAGAAATAAAGGTTGCAAACCTTTAAAACAATGTTCAAATATTTTCAGTGTATCATTAAAAAATGGGAGGGGAGTCGCTTTTTTTGCTTTATTCCGTTGGTGATGTTCTAGATCCTAATCCACGTGAAATGAGACGTTGACAAGTGGCAAGACACGGTGCTTGAACAAAAAACACGAGCAAACATCCCCAAACCCCATTGATTTGATCATCGTCCCAGGGTTCCAACAGTTCCAACATCGTCCCAATGCAGGCAGCCCAGGCACTGGGTATCCCAGGTTCCATCTGAGAATAAACTTGAATAAACTCATTGCCGCTTCGATATGCAAACAAGCAACCCTGGTTTGAACACTCAGAGATATTATCAAAAGCCACTAGTAGATATGTGTTTGTCTGAAAATATGCTACCCCCAATTCCCATGGACTTTAATCACATTTTTCCCTACCAAAATTGCTACGGATATGTGTGGGTATGCCCTATTTCAGACAAAACCCATATCTGTCAGACTGTTGATTATATATCCCATTAAATACCAGTAACTCCGTTTTAATACGTTGAACATCCCATTACATATCCCCATTAAGCCACCATTTTTCATGGCCAACCAGTTACAAGTGGTGCCCCTCAAAAAAATGTTTGTTTGTTTATAACCCTCATCTTTTTCCAGAGACATACGCATCATAAACCCAGAAACTGGATCTATGGCACCACGATTTTTGAGGCAATCTATTGGTATATCCGGCTTCATGGAGTTTCCATAGGGGTACCCCAATAGTACGCTGGATGGTTTCATGGAATCCGAAAGTCACCAGCTGATTTAGGGCTACCCATGACAAGTCGGAAACCCAAATTGGGGGGTTCCATAGTCATGGGTGACCAGCTGATCCCCAAAATGAATGGTTTATCTCATGGAACACCCGATTGAAATGGATGAAATTTGATTTTAAAAAACCTGATATGCACCATGAATTTTCAACCAGCTTCGCTTTCATGACGGAGCTGGTCGCCCGTGTGCAGTGCCTCGATTTGGGCCATGATTGATTGATAGAAATGAGTTTTTTAATGGGAATTTCATGGGATATTCATGGTATTTACTGGGGATTTCATGGGAACCATAAGTTATGGTGATATGATGGGATACGACTGTCAAATATCTCGGATAATGGCATAAATAAATAACTATCAACATGATTTGGGCCAACAATATAGTTGGGATAGATCTGCAAATAGGATACACCACCCATTTATGGTTATGTTTATGTTTATATATATATATTATATATATATTGAAAATTGTGATTCACCAATGGATTTGGGGGTATCTTGTTTTCAGACAAACCCAATGGGATAACGATATTCAATGGGGCACCAATGGATCTACAGAATTGTTGTTGTAATGATGTAAACCAATGAGAAAAAACATCCCAACGACTTGAGGTTGATGAAACTGAGTTTACAATTACCAATGATATTTTTATAACTACTGTATATCCCATTATTACCCAACAATAATAATTATTAGTTTTATATTATCCCAATCACTTGGGTTTACTAGGTTTATTGGTTTTACCCGGAAAATCGTTTCGAGCCTCAAAAAGATCTTTGCCAGTGGCAAGGTCCGTGTCCAGGACCGATCCCCCAACACAAAAAAAAAAAAACAAGGTCTTCTCTGGATTTCTCTGGCGCTTTGTAGCGCCAACAAGTTGTGTAGTTCCTGAATTTTCAAGAGTGCTACCCTCTGGTAATCGAACATAGTTGTGGAAAATGGTCCGTCGTCTAAAGATAATTTACCTAGTAAACATTGTGATTTTTCAGAGCTATGTGAATATACTGGGGTATATAAACCTATTTCAATGCGGCAAAACCAGTCCTAAGAAAGATGATCATCATTAATACTGTGGGATACCGATTAGTGTCATGTTCTCTATTGTGAAACAAATCCCAAAAAATAATTGAGTATTTTCAAATACTTTGAAAAGAACCCAGCTGTGAGAAGTTTTCTTTCAGATCCAATTTTTTTCAGGAGGAACTTGATCCACCTTTATACAGCTTTCTTTGGGTAAAACTGGTCCATTTACCTTAGATCCATGTTAAAGCCTTGAAAACGCAAGGTTTCCCAAATAATTAGATGTTTTTTTTAAAAACCCTTATTAAAAACCAAGTCCCAAACAATTTTTCAAGGGGGCACCCCATGAGTGACCCAGATCCTCAATAATGTAATTGTTTCGTTGGTACCCTATTGTGCACAAAAACTTTTGGGGCGATGTTGTTTTGGATTTAAAAGGAAAATCAATTGAAAGTAGATTGATGTCAATTGAAATCCTTACGCGCAAACACCCTGTTTCGCCCACACCCTTCTTGTCTTGGGAAGATCAACAAAGGTATTAGGGAATATAAAAGTCCCACACCCGTTAAATTTTACATTCGTTTTACATTCATTGAAGATCTTCAATAATAGTTTAATTCTCCCACCCCTGCTAAACTTCTAGATTCATTGAAGGTCGTCAATAAGGGTTCAATTCTCCCACCCACGTTAAACCTCTACATTCATTGAAGATCTTCAATAAGGATTTAATTCTCCCACCCCCGTTAAACTTCTACATTCATTGAAGGCCATCAATAAGAGTTTAATTCTCCCACCCCCGTTAAACTTCTACATTCATTGAAGGCCTTCAATAAGAGTTTAATTCTCCCACCCCCGTTAAACGTCTACATTCATTGAAGATCTTCAATAGGGGCGGGTTTAATTCTTCCACCCCCGTTAAACTTCTACATTCATTGAAGGCCTTCAATGAGAGTTTAATCCTCCCACCCCCGTTAAACTTCTACATTCATTGAAGATCTTCAATAAGGGCAGGTTTAATTCTTCCACCCCCGTTAAACTTCTACATTCATTGAAGGCCTTCAATGAGAGTTTAATTCTCCCACCGGGGTTAGACTTCTATTTTCGTTGAAGATCTTCATTGATGATGATGATGATGATGGAACCCGCACAGGTCCCTCTGCTGCGCGCTCTGATCTAGAACATCAAGTTAACCATAATGCTAAAGTATCCCATTTTTACTACGTTTTCAGCTCATACGAAGAAGGCGGGCCAACAGGCGCGGGCAAGACGACGTGTTTGGCCGAATCCTTACTTAAGTTGACTATCCTAAAAATTGTTGCGGGGGGGGCGTTTAAAATGTTGATTTGTTGAGTAGCCTAAATTGTTGATGGGGGCGGCCCTCCCAAACTAATCAGTATCCAACATTCATGCAGCTTTACACTGGTCAGCAGCTATGGTCTATGATTACTAAAACACTTGTAAGGGAAATGGCAAACAAAGTCAGATGATCGTCTAAGCAACGCTCACCAACCACCTCACAACCGAGCCACTCGCATTCATTAAAGATCCCTGGATCTTTTTCAAGCAACTCCTGGTGAGACGGGCTCCATTCATGGAAAGTAGAAATCTATATTGTTGATTATTGTTGTACATATTTATACAGATGCATATACATATTAGCGCACAATTTTACAATACACATTCTATATGTACATGCACAGACAATTAAACATATGTATTTATAGACAGTTACCTAGTATATTGTATATACATCTGGTTCTGCACGTATATATACACCTATGCGTGTATATATATTTTTTTTCTAAATTTACATATATATATATATATACACCATCTGCAAAAAAAACAAAACACAAAATTCAAATATATATATATATATACACATAAGCATGTGCGTTCATGTGTGTACAGACATAACATGCATGTATATAATAAAAATACATTTTGACACATACAACAATGTAGACCGATGCATAAATTAATTGTATAAGTATGTATGCATATGTGTATGCATATGTTTATATCGGCACGCTTGGAGTTTCCCGGAACTTCCATTGGGGGATGGGATTAAGCCACCGGATGGATGCCGGATAATTTCAAACATCAATGACGTGTGACACTTGTGAAGCAAATTCGGAAACCAACTTCCAGGACACCTCTAGCCTGGCCTGTATACCCTGTATGTATACACATGCGTATTGCACATATGCGTATGGTACATTACATTTACATATTATATGTTCTAAGTATACAATCCAAGTCAGACATGCAAGTAAACATAATGACACACATAAAAATGTCTAAGCATACAACTGGGAGCACGGCCTTTAGATGGCCGTGGTTTTTCTTGATTAATGGGATGTTCTTGATCATGTTTGATGTGCTGGTTCCAATAGGAATGTGTGCGATTTTATTTTTAAGGTCGCTAACCCTTATTCACAAGCAGTAGAACGAAAACAGCCATTTCGCCTACACAAAACTACCATTTTTGGGTTTTCTGGCTAACCTGAAACAGATTCGTCGTCACATGTTTTTAGCCTTTCTTTTGGTCAGAGCAGCACCTCCAGTTCTTCCAAGAACCTTTTAGGATCTGGACTCTGTAAGCTTGAACGCCAGCACCACATGAACACATATTGTGTCACGGGGGGGTGCGTAGCATTGTTCAAGAGAACATACGATAGCGTAGCATGGCGCATGAGTGCAAAGTTCAAGACAACATACAGTAGCGTAGCATGACTCATGAGTGCAAAGTCCAAGAGAACATACAATAGTGTAGCATGATGCATGAGTGCAAAGTTCAAGAGAACATACAGTAGCATAGCATGACGCATGAGTGCAAAGTTCAAGAGAACATACAGTAGCATAGCATGACGCATGAGTGCACAGTTCAAGAGAACATACGATAGCATAGCATGACGCATGAGTGCAAAGTTCAAGAGAACATACAGTAGCATAGCATGACGCATGAGTGCAAAGCTCAAGAGAACATACAGTAGCATAGCATGACACATGAGTGCAAAGTTCAAGAGAACATAGAGTAGTGTAGCATGACCTATGAAAGAGAGAGCCATGGACGTTATTATCCCACCCCACCCCACCCCACCCATGAATACATGCACCTGCCGGCAGCCAGCGTAGCATGTCCTTCATCTGCAAGTTCACATGAACGTTAATACATGCCCCACCACACCCCACCCCACCCTGACATGCACCTGCCGGCAGCGTAGCATGTACTTCATCTGCAAGTTCACATGAACGGTAATACATGCCCCACCCCACCCCACCCCACCCCGTCCGACCCATGAATACATGCACCTGCCGGCAGCAAAACCGTAGCATGTACTTCATCTGCAAGTTCACATGAACGCTAATACATGCTCCACCTCCCCCCACCCCAGCCCCCCAACGTCAACAAAACACCACGGCCGTCTAAAGGCCGTGGTCCAACTATGTAGCGTCATTTCTGTGCAACCAACTGCCATAATGTTGATATGACGGTATACGATGCCACAGGTGGGATGATGTCCCAAGGATCAAGGTGCAGGTGACGAAGTGAGGTGATCAGTGATGACTTGTCACTTATTCCCCATGGTATAAGTATATGATCGATGAATATTATATATCTATTTATAAATGGAATACGTATTTATATATATATAATACAACTATAATATACATTGTAAAAAAAAATGTGATTGTAGATGCACAAACCAAAGAAACAATTTAGGTGGATATCTCCAGTTTTTCGAAACAAAAAACCTTCCAGGAAGTGGTGGAAAGTCACTACCGCAAAAAAAATGGGACTACAATTCATGAGTGCAGGGATCCAACACTAAATCAAGGTTTCGATTGGCAATATCATTTTGTATCAAATATCCGATCGGAAGGATGGACTACCCGGTAATCAAACGTGGCAGTGGAAAATCCCTCCCGTATAAATGGAGGCTTCAATGGGAAATTCATCTATAAATGGTGGATTTTCCATTTCCACACTTGACTGGAGGGTATTCTTCTTTATCCTTACATTCCCATTTCTGTTGGATGTATCGCCCAACTTCCCCGACTTCTCCTGTATCAATGGATTCACGATCTCCACCAAAAGCATGGCCCAAACCGTCATCACCACGAAGCAAAACACGAAGGACCAAACCAAGGTCTCACGATGAACGACGCAGGAAACGGAGACTGAACAACGCCCTGTTCTAGACGTTGTACTCAGCAACAACAAAAAAGAGGTGGATCAGAACTGGGCACCAGTCATAGTCAAATTGGATGGTTGAAAACAAAACATGATTTCAAAATCATCTGTCTTGATGATGTTAGCGTGCTACACAAATAATCACCCTGCAAAACATAATTTCTATCTTGGGATGTTCACATATCCAGACCGCTTTTTCTTTATGTGATTTGCTCAACTTGCAGCTCAGTGAAAACCGGAACAATATCAATACATGAATTGCTTCAGGCATATGCCATGTCCAACACGACAAATGCACCATCATTTTCCCATTGGTTGCTGGGGCCCAGTCCTCTCTACCAGCCAACTAGTGTTGATCCTCTCCGGGGTAACATGAAAGCTCAAAGAAACTCCAAGATCTTGGCCATTTTTGTTGGCGTACTATATCTTTAGGCCCCGGATATCTCTGAGATGTCATTTAATGTTGTTTTGTCTGAGGATAGGGTAGCCCTAAGTCCATGTGTTTATCATCATGTTCCCTATTAAATAGCCATTTGAGTAGGGTATACCGGTTTTCAAACAAACCCATATATATATATACATAATGAGACATAATGATTATATATATATATGACAGTTCAGGGTGAAGCAGGTCCTTTCCAAAGTGAAAGTGGGTCTTTGCCATGTCAGGGCTCAAAGATAATCAAGTAAAGATATCAGAGGTGGAAAATAGTCGCAACCATGTGCAATCAAACAAGCTGCAACAAACATCAGAAATCATTTTGGCAGCCATTGAATGGCATTCAATTTGTCTAACTCACTTGATTCATGTAAGTCACAGAAACGCCACCATCACACGCAGCACTTTCTTTTACCCCATCGATGCAGCCATGTGCATGTGTCAAAGCAACACATTCATTTGATGCTTGGCTGAACCCCTAAAGAAACTTTGCGGCCACCGGGTTTTCGGAGTGGCCATTTTCTGTAATCCACCTTGGCGAGCTGTGGAATGCTGTGGTCGGGTAAAGGGTAGATGGATGGTATACTTGGGCTAAAACTACACCAGCTGCACTCTGCGATTCTAAACTTTGACTGAAGACTGCAAAAGATGATGGCAGTATTCTGGCTGAGTTGCTTCACTCTGGCATCCAATGCTTTCCTGCGACACGCTTCTCCACTCTCACCGCGAGCTGCACAAGTTGACCAAGTTGAAGAATATACCTGGGACATGATACACATGAAATGACTGATCTGTTGAATGGGCTGCAAGAAGAAAGAGTGGAAGAGTGACTGTAAATTGATCGCACGCAGCTGTTATTGCAAACTTGGCACATTGGACATTTACTAGGTTTGCCTATGCGCAGTTGAGCAGCGGAATGAAGCTTCTTCTTCAGGGCAACGTCTGGGTCATCGGTCTTCTTTGGCTTGCCTTTCTTGGCACTGGACGCCTTCTTCGCATTCTTGGCTGGTTTTTTGCAACTCTTGCTTTGGGCCTTTGCGGTTGGCTTGGCACGTGGGCGCTTCTTCGCCGAAGCTTTGCTGGCTCCTGACTTTGCCTTTGGCGTGGTTTTGCTGCAGGGCGTGATGTTCTCCTCATCATCCTGTGCTTCTTGGCTTTCATTCGTGCTTTCATTCTTTTGGCCTTCTGTCCCATCATCCATCTGCATCTCCTGAACTTCCAGCTCTGCCAGCATCTCCATTTCCTGATCTTCAGAGGGTTCCTGGTTGTCCTCATCCGGGTGACGTGGTTCAATAGGCACACCTAACTCTGCTTTTCTGGCTGCGTTCAAGGCCTCTGTTTCTTCCAACTCTTGCTGGGCAGAAGGGGTGGTCCGGTCAATCACGCCCTGAACCTTCTCAAGGGCAATGTTGATGGCTGAAAGGGTGCTCTGTACCACAGCTCTCGGAACCAAAGCGGCGCCGTCCGGAGCATGGGGCACAGAAAGAAGCGCTTCTGCTCTCATCATATACTGCGTCTCCTCACCTGCTAAGGGCGCCAGCTCATCCAAGATAAGCTTCATATCTTTTGCCCCCACACTGGCGGCCTAAGATCGGTTTGGCTCAAGCAACCAAAAAGAAACATAAAACGTGGCAGGCCAGTCAAAAAAAATACATCACATGTGGATGCTGGCAATGCACTAGGAGTGGCACCTCCTTTTCCAAACTGTCGCAACCCGGAATCATTTCCAAACTTTCGCAATCCGGAAGAGTGGAGGCAACATCGTCGGCATATTTCTTGTCAGCTTCCTGCAAGGTAGCGTCAACATCAGAAGGATCACGCATGTCCTCAGGTTCATAGGATTTTCAGTTGGCCCATCACTTTCCAAACAAATCGTAGGGTATGGAAAATGGCATTCAAAATGGACGGTTCATAATTAGTGGGGCTAACCGCATCAACAAAATAAACTGTGTGTTGAATAGTTTTCGGTTTGGTATGGCAAAAGGCAATCAAGTTGTTAGATGTTGTTAGTTTTTTATGTTTAAGCTGAGCAGCTTGAAATCCAAGATCCGTGGGCTCCAGCTCAGTCTGAGGAGGGTCCTTCATCGCATTGGACTTGTCCAAGCTGTCCTGGCAGGAGGCAGGACATTCCGGGCGCCCAAGGGACAACTGTTGGCACATGAGTAAATCACACCAAGGGGCAGGAACTGATCGGCAAGACATCATGAGGCCCTCTTGGTTGTCAGGGTATTCCCACAACTCGGTTCGCCTTGGTATATGTCTTCTGGTTGAAATTGTGTTTCATTCTTATTCTCACATGATGTAAACAAAACACATGTATGTAAGTTGTTGTCAAGCAGCTCCTCTTCTTTGACATGGATGCCATGAAGTTCAAAGGCAAACGGTTCGTTCTCTTGGGCTCGATCCTGGAAAATGGTTCAAAAATATTCATCATAATTCAACATACAATGGCAAATTGACCAAAACTTGTTGACAATCAAATTGCAGTGCTAAGTTTTTTGTGTTTTCATTGCCATTGCTTGCAACGTACGGTCCTCGTCATCTCCATTCACCAGGTCACTGTTCCTGCGACTTCTGGTACTGGCAGCTGCTGGCTTTTTTCGCGGGCCCAGTTTTGCTGAAGCTGGCCGCTTGGCTGCCTTACCTCCTGGCCTTAAGTCGTCAGGGATCCCATCATTGCAGTCATCAGAGTCTGGGTCGTCATTGTCTTGATCATCTATAGGATCATGATCTGCATCTGGTTCATCATGTGGTTTGGCTTTTGCCTTGGCTTTTCTTTTCGGGTTGGACTTCGATTTGGCAGTGGGCACGGCCTTCTTGTCAATCTTGTCATTCTTGTCATTCTTGTCACCAGAGGAATCATCTGAATTGCTGACACGTCCAGGTAACGCATGAGAACCTCCATTGTTTGGTTTGCAAGTAACTGTGCATCTTTGGACTTGTGACTAGTGAAAATTCTTTGCAAAATCTCGTTTCTTTTCAAACAGTTCTCAAGCAAGCCCAGCCTGTCACAGCTGGCAAAGGAGCAGGTCGTGGCGAAGTCAGCGAACTTGCTGCTGGCGAAGCCACCGAAGATGCTCGGACGGCAGACGGAGGAACACTACTGGTTGTTCGGCGGGCAGGGGTAGCAGAAGGATTAGAACCACGTAGCATGGCCTGCAAGTCGAATGCCTTAGATCGGAACAAGATGGAACAAGGACATCTTTCATTCAACAGTAATTCATGAAATTCTGGTCAAACTTTTTTTGCCAATCAGGGCAGCTAGTTTGAATCCAAGATACAGGCGGTCTCACGGATTGTGTGAGTGGCACCTCCTCGATACTACTTTCATCATCGGAGGCCATTGCCCTCAAGCTACACCATGAAAAACAATTGATCCAAAATCAAACTGAAATGCCGGTAATGATGTGGGATTAAGTTCAATAGCAATGTATGGAATCTGATTTCAATCTGACCTGTGTCATGGGATCCAGCCGGCATAACTGTAAAATTTTTGGTTCCGCGTCCACATGGGTAGATCACCCCGTTTTCACAGAAAGGGTAGATCACTCCGTTTTCACGGAATTGGTTGGGTATATGTGCCCGGCTTTTGAAACACCAAAAATTGTGTCATGTATCTTTGATCAAAAGTGTATTTATGATTCAATTAGTGTTAGATCAATCTTCAAGCCATACTGTCGACCCAACCAACATTCCATCTCAGCTCAAAGCTTTGGGAAATAGTTCCCAGCTAGGTGACGCAGCAGAAGCACTAAAGGTTGAACCACCAAGTAGTAGAAGACAGAAAATCTAGCTTGGGTCAAGTTTTTCCGGCGGTCAGATTCAAGCCGCAACCCAAATGCTCCCTTTGCGCTGCACATCAGCCAGCACCCTGTGCCAACATATGGGCTGACAAAATCTATTCTTCAAAATCAACAAGCCCGCTTCTTGTTGCAGTCGAATGAGAATCAGCGGTTGGCTTTCCAGCAAACAGATCTGTCTACATCAGACGAATTGCGGTATCTGACAAATCCAAATTTTGGTTCAGGCACATGACAGGCCTAATCGGAGTGATCACTTTTGCACCCTGGGCGGCCGAACAGTCCAGCCTAGGCAATGGAATTTGATCTGGGCCTAAAAAATAATGGTTGGAAGAAATTAACCAGAAACCACCCGCCCAAAAAAAAATGCACAGCACAATGCAACGCAAGAAGCCTGCAGCGCCACGCAAGGACCATCACCTGCGAGGACTTGATCTTCTCGATGTCGAGGTAGCTTCCGAAATTTTTTTGGGTGATGGGCACGGTCTTTTTCTTCTTCTTTTCCTTTTTCACTTCACCATTGGGAGGGTCATCCATGACGAACACCAATGGTTTTGTACAAGACCACTGCCCGTCACTGAAAGCATGGTGGCTTACTTCCACTTTCACCTGGGACTTCCAGGTATTCCCAAAGTGGGGTTCAGAAATCATAGCAATACAACCCCTACCAGCCTACCATTTGCTTAAACTAACATGAATACCGTGCAAGTCATTTGAATTGACACATTGTTGCATTGCACAGCTGATCATCGAGATTCTGTCATTTTGTGAAAATCATACCAGCTTGATACAATTTTACCATGCACTGGACAATTTGATTACATGAATTGAACACCAAGATGCTTCACCTAAGTCCTCCAGGTCTGTAAGTAAGCTTGCCAATGTAACCGCCCGGTCGAGGTTCTCAATTGATTTCAAGTGTTCTGGAAGGCCCTTCTTTTCGAGGATCAAGTAGTGGCCCCCGTCAATGTTGAAGCTCCACCAGCGACCAGTTGGGTCAGATAGCACTTCACTAGCTTCCTGGGTATGTTGCAGAGCTGCCCCCAAAACAGAATGTGTAAAATCAAATCATCAAGTAGTTGTCAATTTCATGGCTGGTTTTTGGGCGAGATGCTTGCCCGTCCCTCCACTCACCACTCCCATAGCTGAACCTTAGGGCAGATCACAGGGCAGAAACTTTTTGAATCCAATTTTACAAGAATTTTTGTATCTACTGCGAGGCTTTATAAAGTTTGACAAGTGGCATCTCTCGCTTGTCCAGAAATTGGGAACGCCCACGGGATTGCAAATAGAGGTAATCACCAGATTCGCCTCCAAGAATCAGCTCGCACAAATTGTTGATTTGAAGCGTTTTCCTCGCAGAGGCCATGGCAGCAATGTTTTTTTGGGTAAAAGAGTGAATACGATTCAGTATAATAATAGTCTATACTTAGTATAATACAATATTATAAAATATAATTATTATGTATTGTCGTATATAAAATATATTCCAAGAAAATGCGGATATCCATCAACCACCAGGCTTCCACGGGTGAATCCATTTTTTCTGCTATTTGTACTTTTTTCAGATGAGGAACGGATTGGCAACCTTTGACACTTCTTCTGAACTGCAGTGCTCGACTTTGATCCGTTTGGCAGGCCGCTCTTCACTGTCGGCAGCCTCATTGGGCTGCTCTGTCCTGCAGATGTGAAGACATGGATCCTTGGTGGGCAAGCATGTGAATCTTGGCGAAAACAAAGGGTGTGGTCGAAGTATTAACTCTTGGGATGGCATCCTGGATTTGCATTGATTTTTTTGACCACCTACAGACCCCAAAACCATCTAGAAGTACAGCATGGAGACACTTGTCGCTAGTAGACTTTAAATTGAAATATAATGGATACTGGATACCATATGAAATTTATCTCGCAACCCCTGGGGGCCCTATACAATAATAATAATAATTACTGACTAATGAATATAAGCTTGGCCCAACCGAACTGCATCGAAAAAGAAGTCCTCTCTGCAAGCAAGAAGGACTCCGTGGAATTGAACTCCTTGTTGTGCTCGTCAATCAGCATTTTTGCGCGATCAGCTGTGTGCTCGTAGTTGAGCCACTTCTTTGCATAGCTTTCAAGCACCAAAAGGTTTGAGCCTTGTTGGCAAGACACGCGGTAGCTCTTGGAAGTTTCTTGCGGCGGCCCACGCTTGAGCGCAGCAATCACAGGTGCAAAGTCTGGAAAGTTGGGGATTTGCAGATGTTTGTCTCTGGCAGCCGAGTACACCTCATTGCCGATGCGGTTCAACAGCTCTTGTCCGCTGTGACCGAAGCAAATCGTCGCGGAAAGACACGGTTTGGAATCGCAAACATCCTGGCCAAACATCAGCAAGGCATAACAAGGCCCAGGCTCAAGACAAAAAAATTGCTGATTTTTTACCGAAAGCAAACAACAATTAATCAGCAAACCCCACACACTGATTCAGCGTCCTGCAAGCCAGCCAGGGCTGGCCACGCGTCGTACCCTGCCGCATCAACCAGCAATGTACTCTTTGATGTTGCCACCTTGAAGCTGGCCAGGGTTGTTCTAATGAAATCCGTCCCGCCACACACCTAGGCAGCAGTTCGTGTTGGGCCATAGCCAAATAGAAATTCTTTAGTTCTTTTTTGGACTGGGGCATGACAGCCTGTGCATGTGGGGGATAATCAGCTTTCTGAGAACACATGCCACGTTGGCAAACGAAAGCAAATGCATTTAAACGGTGTGTTTTTCTTCCGTTGTTGAGATGGCATGTGAGAGTACAAGGTCATTTTTTCGAGCCACCCTAAGTTGTTTTTCAAAAGTCTTGTGCATGGGACTTTCTTTGGGGGTATGTTTGGGCAGAATCCAAGATAGTCCAGTCCCAGGTGCTTGCTTGAGTTCCTGCACCATGGTCATGGCCCGTCCAAGGTGAGGGAGCCCTCTGCCCGGAGACGCCTTGGATAGAATCACAGCTGCAACACTAAGAACAAGAGTCGGATGGTAGACATCACAAAGTAGAAAACTGTATTATGTAATATGCATAACATTGCGAGGCACTGCCTCCGGTTTCCACATCTCATGTCGTGGGAGCATTCGGATCCCCAAAACGACGCCAGTTTTCCATCCTTGCGTATTCCGGATCACATTCCGATCATCGCGATGCGTGATCACCAGGCCATGGACAACGCCATCCCTTTTCCCATACACACTCTCCTTAGAGCAACTTATCGTTATGACTGGTGAAAGAGCGTGGCCATGCGCAGATTGACCAGCCACATCCTAACATAACGGTTGGGGAAATCAAGTAGGAAAATATTCAAGTTATCCAAGTTTCTGGGTCAAACACCCATGTAAGCGGTCGTACTTTGAGCCCGCGTTCTTTCAAGGCAAATTGTTTCCTCAAATTTTGTGAATGGTTGGGAAGATGAAAAACCAACATCAACACCAGTTGAGCTTAAAGATGTGCGCAGTCTACCGGTTTCAAATTTAAACCACATAAAAATAAGAAGGGAACTTGACCATGCATGCCACATTGTTTCAACACAGCGAGACTCTCGAGCTTGTAGCAGATATCCCGGACCTCAACTGCTTCGGCATCGGTTCTGTCTGCGCCATCCATTTCAGTGTCGGATTCATCCGCTTTCACCTTCACCTTCGTGTCATGATCCTCATCTTCCTTGGTCTCATTTTTCCTGCAGGGGACTGAAGTGAAGACAATGGCTTACTGATAGGAAAAGTGTTTGTTTTTCTTAGACATGTCAGATTGACACGTTATTCACTCAATCTTAAACTGCAACTCCTGGACATCTTTTAGGCCCCACTGTTGGTCACTGCGATCTTCAGCCCTCCCTCAATCATTCAAATGTGCTATGTGACTTCGTATGGCAGCCGTTTGAACATTTTTAAAAAACATAAACGCCTGCCATCTTGTGCAGAGCGGTTCGGGAAGACGAGAAAAGCGACCCCATTGACCGGGAAATCCGATAAGATGTTCGTAATCAGGGTCAATGTAAAACTCATCCGGATTGCTGACAGCACACCGATGGCTGGCATGTTCATGAAAATTGCCACTGTGTGGTCGTCAGATGCTGTGCCTATCTCCATGGCCCGTTCTTTCAACCAGGATCGGCAGCTTGGCATGATGGTCGACTCTGCTTCTGTGGGCTTGGACGCTGCAAAGATGGAGCAGTTCTCTTGCATGAAGTCCTGCACGGATTTCCAGGCTCGTGTGTGGAGCTCCTGCAGGGTAACAGTTTCGAGGGGAAACGAACTCAATTAACACAAATGGACCTAAATCTAATAAACAAATAATAAACAGCATTAACCTACTTTGGAAAAAGGTTGACCAATGGGGTCCTCGAGTTGGTGAACCAACTTTGATCGTGCTTTTGCAGTCTCCTTTTCTGTCCTTAAAAGCGGACACAAGGGGATGAGACCTAAGAATGGAGCCAATGCATACATTACGCATAAAATCTCATAAGTACCTCCTTTCAGAACTAAGACCCGTTTTGTTTGGTTCCTTATCCTTTCAAGCCAAGTGGCAAAATTAGCTCACTTTGAAATTGCGCCTGATCCGCCCGAAGTTCTTCCAAAAAAGCTCCATATGCTGCCTCCATGCTCTTTTGAAGTGCATTCCTTGACCTGTCCTGATGCTCCGCGACAAAGTTGTCCATGGACTTTCCCGCTGCCTGGGTGGGGACAGGGACTATTCACAGTTCTTTTGAACAATGGTTAGCACTAGGACTTGTAGAATGTGCAAGCGCAATGCATTTTGAACATGAAGGGTGATAGGAGAGCCTCCAGCATAAACGGGATGCGGTCAACCTCAAAGTCTGTTTTGGCTTTGAGCACTCCTTGAAGATCATTATCCAGGAACCTTGCGCAAGATTTTGGTTTGATGAGCTATAAAGAACAACATCAACTTCACACTGCACATGTGTTAGTTTCGCAAAGGCCATAAGCATCAGGTTCCACATGAATGTCGAAAAACTGGAAACTCAAAAAAAAGGACGGAAATGAACTTTTCGCTTGATTCTCTTGTTAGCCATGTCTCACCTTATTTTTTTCTGAGAAAGAAACATCAAGGAAATCAACGACAAATCCGGCAGAAAAAACAAAGTTCCAGTTTCACGTGGTTTCCAGAAACCCCACGACAAAAACTGCAAATATGAGCCTCCCAATGATTTTTTGAGTTGGACATGATTTTCCACGAAATCAATCAACCCTTGTTCAAGCCCCAGATCATCACGTGGTTTCCAGAAACCCCACGATAAATAGCCAGTCGTACCAGCTTAAATTTTATCATTGATTTGGGTAGCCAAAAATTTTCGGCGGACACAGCCAAATCATCACGGGGTTTCTGGAAACCCCATGAAAGTTTCACATCCCTAGCCAAATATTTTTGGCGACCAACGACGTTTTGACACTCATAGCCAAATGTTTTCGGCGACCAACGACGTCTTAACACTCCTAGCCAAATATTTTTGGCGACCAACAGTCCCCCAAGCTAAATATATGTCAAAGAGCCCATCACGAAAGAGCTCCTCATGTTGCCGAACGATTTCGCCAGTGAACTTGCGTTCCATGTGTTTCTTCACCCAAAGCCACAGCACGCAAACATCATGTAAGAGGACTTGCTGCTCAGGATCAAGCTGCGCCATTTTCTGAGCAGGGTTTAACGTCGCAAGGCCTAAGTAAAAAAAGAACCTTCCCTTGAACCCTATGTGCTGGATTGTTTTTTAACCCATGTCCTTGGCGCTTCGAGTTGCTTCTTTGGATGCCTTCCTCACAAAATCCCCTGTGGCACGGTTGAAGTAGAGGAGCACAGTCTCCGGTGTCAAAACCATGATCTCTTCAGAAATCATCTTGCACCCTTGGTAGTGGTCACGCCGCTGGTGCGACCCGGGCACATAGAATTCGTTCTGAAGCACTTCGTGCGGGAGGGCTGCAGGGGCATTTTTCCCAAAACACATGAAAGCGACCCAAACCTTTCCCCCCAAAGTTTTAACTTTCAACTATCCACGCCTGAAACTTCGTGCTTGTAGCAATCGTAATGGTGATGAAGCAATGCCAATGCTTCCTCTGGACAACGCATCCTGTACAAGGCGAGCCAACCATAACAAATCAACATCTCTTTTTGGTGGAAAAAACATCACCGTTTGAAAATTGAAGTGTCCTGTCAAAAAGAAATACAAACAACTATTAATCACAATGAGAAACAAGTTGTAGCACATAGCGCGTCGTGCGCTGTCCACTCGGTGTCGTTTCAGCGTGACCAACTTGTTGTAATCAGCAATCACTCGATTCAATGCGTCTTTTAGTGGCATTCTCGCTCCTCTGGTGCTCATTTTTCTCTCCAATTCCAGCGCTTTTCCCAGGTCCGCCACCATGTCCAAAGGGCTGGGTGAATTTTTTTCAGAAGTCACGAATCCAACTTCTTAGATGATGTGGACGCTGGCAATTGAAAAAGCGAGGGACTTCTAGGTTTCAAAAACCAAACAGTTTGAAGTTAAACAAAATCTGCAGGCCAAAATTCTGAGGCTTTCAAGGTAGTAGTGCGCCGGGTGGTCGTAGTGCTTGTAGCTAACGGAAATCGAGTCAAAACTTTCAAGCGTCTTCTTCAAAGTTGGGTCATTCAATTCGCTCTCCTCCAGTTCCAGCTCTTTGATGATGATCAGAATGCCCAGCATCGCCAAGATTTTGGCGAAACCATCGACAATTCCCACTGAATGTGAGGAAATACAGCGACTGCCATCCCTGGCACGATGTGGGAATTTCACAATCACTGCCCCATAAGATGGCTTGTACCCATACTTCAATATCTCCGGCAGCACTGCAAGAAACTGTTGATTCGATGGATAGACTGCAGGGTGAACACTAGCCAACAGTGAGATATCGCTTAAGCTTCCCAAAGTCAAACAGTTTGAACACACCTCAGACAATTTTTTTTGTTTCCAGCCCCTGACATCCGTTCTTTGAATCCTTTGAATAGTCGAAGCGGTCTAAGGCCAGCCAAAAGCTGCTTTCATTCTCGGTGGGAATCAATGTGGTCGGGATTCTGCCCGGAATTGGTGGGGCTCTTGAAGTCACCAACTCATCGATCACCTCCAGATGGAAAGAACAGAAAGAAAGGACAAACAGCTCAGCGAACATGCCACAAACGAGAGCTAATGATCCGAGAACATGCGTGGCATCCCACCTTGGTCATTTTGGCCGGCTCGGGACATTTTTGAAGCACGTAGTCACCCAAGTTCACAGTCTCAACAACCTAAGCTGCGAGCAAAACAGAAAAATGAATAACACACCTTCCCAAGATGATAGCAGGGGAAACACATCATGCTGTCAAGCAGCATTGTCGAAAAAAGCCCGAATCTTGCCAATTGGACCATCTTCAGCAGGGACTTCCGGCGCTGAATCCATTTGGGCTCAGCACTAGTTGGCCCAAAACCCCACAGGCCCTTGAAACTAAGCCTGCCACATAAACCAAAGCCGTTCAGAAATCATTACGGTTTCCAATCAGGATCAACACACTGCAAACAGATTGCTCCAAGCCCCATTTTCCCCGTCTCAACCCTGCAAGCGGTTGCGATGAAACACCACCTGTAGCTCATATGGCTTTGGTGGCAACTGCCTGGGTTGCAAGCGGAAACCCCGCACATCTTCTTGCCAAGCAGACTGATGGCGCAGAAAGCTCAATTCCGGCACATTCTCAAACTTTGGCATTGGCTGTGGATTTCGCAGCAACTCCTCATACCAAGCAGCAGCTCTGTTGAGGTGTGGAAAGTCTTGCGTCAAAGCATGCCGGATCAAGCGCAGCTCATCCCATCGTTCAGCTTCAATGCTGTAAGATCTCAAAGGGCACCTGGAACTATTGGCTTCCTGAAGAAATTTCTGTGACGCTGGTTCCATAGCAGCTGGAAACACCAATAAAGGCTCTTGGGACAAGGATGTGCAAGCCATCGTGGCCTTCACCATGCAAAAGACATCATCCAAGTCATCTGCATCTGCCCTCCATGACCTGGGGCACCGATCTCGAAGTTGCATGCTTTTTCCTTCTTCAGGAAGTCCTCTTCTTGTGTTTCGCTCCCCCCAAAACATGAAAGATTCGGTGGAAACAAACCCTTTTCCCTTCACACAACATATGGAATACAAAAAAATGTATATTTAATGCTGTATCCTGCGCGAGGCATGAATGTAAACATCTGTGGCAAAGGTGTCCGTTCACCAGCATCTTCCACTCGAAGCTTTCTGGCCCTGAAACAATTCTTGAAAGATGCAGCGTCAGGCAAAATCTGGACCCAATCTCTCACCTTCAGCCGGTGCGAGATTGAATCTTGTTCAGATAGAACAGAAACCACCCCAAAAACATCTTGGGGGCTTGGAGGTTTTGACGAGTGCAAGTCGGCACATTGAACTGCAAGCAAGATACCGTTTGCACCAACTCAATTCCCCAAGACAAATCTTTCTTCTCAAACAAAGGTTTCATCTTCTCATCAATTCTTCTAGCCAGATCTTTGGGAGTTTGTAAGGAGCTTGGAGACGCTGATCTCAACCCACCAGCTATCAAGGCAAATAAAGCGTCTATGTCTTCGTGGGTGTGGCCCACCTTGAGGTGGGCCTCTGTTGTGCTGGCAAAGACACGAGTTTGTGCCAGCGCAGCTAGTGTCCGCATGCCGTACTGATTGCGCAGCTCTTTGACCGTATTATCGCTCTGAAGCCAGAGCCTTGTTGTTGATTAAAAGTTCCCTTATTTTGAGAAAATGCCAAAAGCAAGCGCACTTTATTTGATGGTAACATGCTACCTCAAGCAAAATCCAGGGCACTCTTGTGGGAAGCGACGATTCCGGCTTTGTGTCCGGACCCAAACCTTCTCAAGCGATCGCATCACCTAAGTCTAAAACATTAAGAACAGCTGAAACCGTAAGAGTCGTCAACCTGAATAACACAGTTTAGGGAACCAAAACCATGAATTGCCTAGCAAGTAGCACACTCCCAGTTCCAGCTGCTTCCGCATCCAATCCCCTCGCCAGCTGACAAATACATCCAGCAGCCATGCCCATGGCAAAGCACAGCTGTAAGCACCAACGAAGCTCCTAAAGCAAAACTGCCCCAAACAATTGGTTTAAGGTGCATACAAAAAGGGAAACTTTCAAGAAGTGGAAAACCAAACAAATCCAAGATTCGGCTGTAAGTTTGGTAGGCTAAACTGCCCCGGGTTAAGGTGCATGCAAAAAGGTATGGAAAACCAAACAAATCCAAGATTCGGTTGTAAGCTTGGTAGGCTGGTCTTTTGGGAATGCGGTTGAAAGGGAACTTTGGTAGATACAGTTTGCTCCGGTCAAAACTATCAATGATGATAGTCATCAAATCACCGTGAAGAGCGCTCCTTTCTCTTGCCCGCCAATACACTTCGCGATCACGCCACTGCGCAGCATAGTGTTCCAGCAATGCACTGCACAGCTCTGAGTGCACGTGGAAATCCTGAGATTTTTTGGGGTTCTAGTTGAAAAGCATCAACTTCTTGAAAAAAATATGATGTAAAATCAGTTGAACTGGAAATGTTCAGCAAAGCTTCGGAAGCGTCATGGATTTTTGCTTTCAACGTTTGGCATTGCAGGCACATAGAATGGGATGTCTCTGGTCGAAATTTCATGCAAATTTTCCACTGCTGCCAGGCATTGTAGAAGGTTGTACGCCCTGCAGGTGTTCTGTCAGCAGCCCTGGCATACCCCAAATACATAAGGTATAAAGAGGAAACTGTACCAGGAGGAAGTTCTCTTTGAGGTAATCCATTGTGAGGCCGAAGTTCTGTTACCTGCCTGGTTGCCCCCAGAAGCCGTTGCTCCACTAGTCGGGCTTGCAGTTGTTCTCTGAGTTGCTCATCGCTTTGGGCAAGTGCTGAAGTTGATTGGAACCTCAAAGGCAACTTGAACCCCAGAAAAATAATAAGAACAGAAACTATAGAGAGGTCCACTAAACCAACAACGCTGCAACTTCACTGAAGGATTTTTCTGAACTGTTGGCAGACACTGAACCGGCATAGATTCTGCAGCGCTCCAATAAAGATGCCCAAAGAATCCATGAACGGATGCAGTCTGTTCTGAAATTGCGCGGCTTTCATCACCTCATGGTGTCTCAGCGTGGTAAACCAAAAACTGACCTGGTTTCAAACAGTTGCCTAAAATGATTCCAAAAAATAGAAACCTACTGCTTGGAGCAGGGAACGTTGTTGCGTAAGTGTGCGCTCATCAATGCCCCTGAAGCGTTTTTTGGTTCTTTGTAGTCGCTGCTTCCCAATTCCCAAATACTTCAACCAGGCAGTGCGACAAATCTGAACACCTAAGACAGGGAAATGACATGCGCTACTGTTACTGTAACGACTACCCCTCAAACTCTAAACTTGTCAGGGGATAAAAGAAAAGAATTGAAGCACAAATGATATGACAACGAGCCTTCAATTGACCATTTTTTCCGCCGTGACCCAGATCCTGACTGCAGACTCCAAAGAAGGGCGTCCTGGCTCTCCTTTGGAAGAGCCCAGAATGCTTTGCAGGTTTCACGTAGCAAGTTGAACTCCACCCTGCACTCGCATTCACATGGGGGTGAGCGAAGTAACTCCTTGAGTCTCTTGGAATTCTTCCCGTTTCTCGCGTAGCAAGAGCGATCCATAGTCTCATCTCTAGCATGCAATGATTGTAGAACGCTAAGCTTCATGTCCACTTCCCCCGTGGACTGTGTCAATTTCGAGCCAACGCCAGCTTCATCGTTTGATGAGCTGCTAGAGGAACCCGATGAGCCCCTGAGTTGTAGGCAACCCTCACTTAGCCCCAAAAGCCGATTTGGGAAGTTTAAGAAAATTCAAGAAATCACAGGCAAGGTGCTCATCCTGGCTCTCCCCAGATTGCGATGCTGAATCAGTTTCATCATACCGCCAAACACCGGCAGGTAGCAATTTGTCTTGGGCATCATCATAGCGGCCAAGCACACCCATTGCAAACGTTCAGAATCAAAGCAACTTGGTTTTCTGGGATTGCTTTGATTATCGGGATTACTGCCTTCCTGTGTCTTATGTTTGTTTGGCCTAATTGTTGTGTTCATTTGAAGCAGTTGCACTTTGTTTCTTTTCAAATGGATACCGTTGATAGAAATTTACAATACAAACGCTTGAGCACAGAAATTTTCGGATACCCATAGATTTCATGTAGCCAATTCCGAAGTTGTTCTCATAGCAGTATAGCGACAGAGGACCCCAGGAATGGCTTTCAGCCAGATGGTTTCTGCACCTTTTTTTTTGCCGGCGAACCGCTGTCATCAGCACTGCATGGATTTATCATCCATTGAGATACCCTCGAAGCTTAATTGGGTCCATGGCCAAGAGGATCGTTGAAAGTACCACATACAAAGATCGCATTGAAATCGCATTTCCGCTGAGGCGGTGCAACTCCTTAATTACAGGTAAGGGGCAGGGGATGGCTTGATTCAATTCTCAAAAGAATTCAAATTGCTTGCAAGCAAGGATCACTGTTGCTGAAGTGCATCTCGAAATCCATATCTTCAAGATTGACCCCCATCAGCAGCATGCATTCTGCTCCTGGGTAACTTCCCAGTGTCCCACAACTGGATTTTTCTTTGTTAAACAAATTGTGAACCATTGACTTGCTGAGGCAGCCAAGTGTCCCAACAAAAAGCGTTGCTGGCATGTGAGCAGATACGCGCCGCCCGGCCTTGATTAGTTTGAAGCATGGCGGAGCTGAAGATATAACATGCAAGATAGCACACTGCAAACAATTGAGGGCAAAACGTCAGGGTCATCAAAGGGGCCCCCTCATAGATGACAGGCATGCGAGGCAGCGACTGTGAAGTATTTGCCACTGCGAAAGGCCCCTTTGCAGTGACAATCAAATCCAATGCCTGCATGTTGTCAGGCCATAAAGAAAAATAAACAGACATCATTGCCAACATGTGTGAACAAGCCTCATGTGGTTCATGTGGTTCAACAAGCCTCCAGTTCCCTGTGTGAAGTGATCTGACCAACTGCATCGGGATACAGACGCTTGAAAGCTCCGGCAGCTTCACTCACCTAGCAGCCAATCAATCAGGCAGGTATGCTCGAAGAAAATCTTTTTCAACCAAGCCACTTTGATACCTTGTTGTTTGGCCCATTCACGATGCAATTTAGGCCATTTCCTGTGAGCTCTCCTAAGAGGGAAAGCATGAAAAACTGAAAAGCAACTTGTGAGCAGAATGTGATTAACCTGAAAGTAGACAGGCTTCTTTGCACATTTGTCAAGTACTCCTCTTCGGTGTCGTTTTTCCAGCTCCTGTTTCACCAAGAAGTGATCGCGAGGGAAGAGTAGATCTTGCCTGAGCTAGATGCCCAAGGTTGGCAGCAGTCATGAGATGTAGCTTGCATCAGAATCTAAAAAACCAAGGTACCAGGAATACTTTGGAGCCATCATCATACATTGGGACATATGATTCACTAGATCTTGAAGGTCGATGTCACGCATCACCTCACGATGCACCAAGAAGATGAAGATCCGCCTCCGTGCAACACTGGAGCCATAGTCAGACCTGAGCAAACTACTAAGTATGTGCCAGCTCCATTTGCTAATGCATATGGCATATGGGTGCTACCAAGTAGCGCTTCCAGCTGCCTGTGAGCGATGTGGTACCTGAGTATAAGGGACATGTGAAACATTCTGTGAACCAATGAACATCAGCTTTTTTGTGTTTAAGTAATGGGTAGAATAAAAGCCAAAGTTACTGTGGCAAATTTTCAGCCAGCAGCTTGAGAATTTTCGGGATCACTTTCAAGAAGCCCATGACATTCTCCAGCACTGCTCCCTTACAGAGAGATCAGGGACACATGACCAGGGGGAAATCTATAAGAATTTGATTTTGGCGGTCATCATGTTTCTTTTTTTTGTAGCCAAGAAACTGCCGGCTCTGCCGTCTTCAGATGTCTGATAGTCTCAAAGAGTTGCTGGGCGTTCTCGTCATGCAGCAATCTCCGTAAGCCAAGCATAGAATATGGAGTGCAAGGAAATCCCGCAGTCCATAAAGCTGCCTGCCGAGGAGAATTCAACAAACACTGAATATGATCACTGCTTTGTTTGGGAAATACAAAGAATGACAGTGTCACAACAAGACGACAAGATGGCCTTTTTGTGCAGCGCCTGACAATCAACTTCAGAGATGTCGGAGTACCACCTTGGAAACACAAATGGCTATTATTGGAATCGTGTTTAACCGGAATTTATCTATGTCTAGCACCATCTAGCACCAAAAAAATTGCGACGAGGTACTGCTTTGGGGTCTCATGGTTCTTCTCCAGGAAGCGTCTGGCAGATGCATCACATTCACTGTAGGACCTAAGTTTGCAAATATATATCATTATAAATTATATTATATCTGAAACTCTAAAACATCGGTTTGATATTTACGAAACATCCAAGCTGAGTCGAGCTGCAGGTAGTCCACCAACAGTTCTTGGCCAGCACATTTGAAGAGCTCTTTCAAGGCAATCAAAGGGGTGTCAATGCCACTACCTTAGGTTGGCTGTGCTAAAGAATATAGTAAACAGACCGTACCAGGGAAGAATATGTTTCCCATGGTTTCAGCCTCGCTGCAGTCGCTCACATAGCCGAAGGATGTTTCATCGCCCCAATCGTCGAAAAAGTCCGACAGTCCTTAGATAGAGAATGCTGCTGTGGTGATACATATGGGCCAGGTGTGCGAACAACCTTTTTTGCAAATAAGGATCCCGCACAGTCATAGAAGTGCTTGGCGCATGACACATAGTCCAGTTGTTTCTCCGAAAGGTTAAGCTCCTGATGGGAAAGTTTGTATTTCAAGACATCCCAGATTGTTACAAACTGTTCATCCCTTGCCTCACTTTCATCATCAGATATCTCGCGCCAAATCATGGCAACGAAGGCGGTCGGTTTTAGAGCCACCACAGCTCTGGAGTAGCGGGCAATCAGATCCAGTTGCTGTTTGGATAAGACCCAGTTGGGTCAGGATTTCCATACATGTACATAATTGTACAAATTGTACATGTATATTATAGCAACCAAAAAAAAATAGAAAAGTGGTCCCAGGATGGTTTTTCCCATAATTCCCAGCTTTCCAGCAGCTGTTCTATCTTTTTGTTGGGGGGTGCAATAATAATATCTCCATGGATCTTGACAGCAATGGTTGGACTCGCTGGTCCATTCAGAATGTCCATCTCACACGGGTTCCAGCAAGATACCCAACCTTCAAAGTCGATCATTGTCAGTGGAGCAAATATCTTCTCCCTGTCTATCAATTTGCTCTTTGGTTAAATGACATCCTCCAATTACTCCAAAAAACAGGGCAACCACACTGTTTAAGTCTAATTGATCTGCAGAAATCGGCCGTGCGATTGAACTATGTCATCAAATCCCACCAAATGGGTGGCCAGAAAATTATTTCGCAAACCCAAATGACCGGTTCCAGAATTCCATCTTGGATCTTCCATTGCTGCCCGCCTCTGAAACATGACCCGATCCTCCTCAAGCACTCGAGTGGCCCCTTCCTTTGTGGCGAAGCGCACAAATCCTGGGCGGGGTTTCGTGAGGCCCTGCTCGGCTGTCAAGAAGAAATTTGGATCATGAAATCCGCCCGCAACGAAAGTGGCGAGGCGTGATAGTTTAGGAGCCGATGTCATCAAATGGACCAACTGTTCAACTGGAACAGCCTGGGGGAGGGCATTTTCGAGCCGAGTGCGCCAAAAAGCGCACAGGACTGTGGTAATTTGCATATTTTTCACATCGGCACAACATCGTCCAAATTCTCCGTTTCGACCCCACATGTCCGCAAAATGGCCCCAACTTGGGCCCAACTTGGACCACTTGGCTCCAACTTGGGTCCAAGATGGCTTCAAAATAGGGGACATGGCCGGCTTCCCACGATTTTTTTAGCATTGGGCTCCAACTTGGGCTGGAGCTGGGTCCAACATAGCTGTCTCTATTCTGAGCAAATGATGGTGCTTCACAAACCTCAATCCCAAGCCATTTTGGGGGATGTTTGGTCAGGGAGGTCATTGTAATTCGCCCTGCACACCAAGTTATCCCACTCAAATCGCAAGTTGGCTCACACATCCTGTAGCTATGCCAAACAATCCCATTTGTGTAGTATTCACATGCATGTTTCATTCTGAGTATGTAATTATGTGTGACAAAATTCATTCAAATCCGCAAAATTGCATGGTTCACTAGAAAAAAGTTTGATGTAGTCATTATCCTCGATGCATATTACTAATCCTCTATATCTGTATCCTCTAAATTGCATCCTCTGCGTGTTTCGGCGTTTCGTTTTTGCGTCGCATCCTCTGCACCGGCTGGGCCACTCGGCCAAGGTTCCCCAATTGCCCTGGTCCCGGTACACCAGCGCCACCAGACCCCATTGAGAGAAGAAATCACCGATCTCCTCCTCGTTGTCTCTGTCGCTGATGCCTAGGGGAGACCACTGCAGTCTGATTTTGGAAGCCGTGTGTCCAAAAACAAGAAAGAAGCAAGGATATATGTCCCGGAAATACCCCGCAACATCACTTTCTCACACCATGTATTCATCAATTTTGGTGTCAGTAAGGGGTCACACAAGTCTTGGAAGCACTGAATGCGGACGTGACAAATTGTCGTCCATGACTGTCGCAACCCTGCCAAGAAAAACACATCAGAGAGTCCGAGCTTGACAACAACTTGGCAATAGAGAATCCATCATTTCACTACAGAGCCATCAGTTTTCCACAATAGTAACTGGAGGGTACCCAGGAATACCAAAGGTAGTCAATTAGTCAACCCACTTACTGCTGATGTCAAAGGTATATCCTGTGTTTGTTTCTTACGAGACCCTTGGGGGCGTGTTGATTGAACGCCATTTAAGATCCAGCGTTCGCTTGTTGGTAAGTGCTTCGTTCATTTCGAATCCAATGAAAATCCATGAAATTCCAGTTACCCTCTGGTAATTGAACATAACTATGGAAAATCACCATGTTTAATGGGAAAATCCACTATAAATGGTCATTTTCAATAGCTATTTTGACATAACCAGAGGGTAACATCACCAAAAAAATCCAAGATGTCCAGGTACTTCTGATACAAATCCCCATCTTTCCCCAGACCAAAACGCTTCCCGCCCACCAACTTTGTGCACCAAAAACATCTAAGTTCTCAAGCCATTCACCATGACCTTGCACGGATCGCCGGACCTCGCAGTTGGTCCGGAAATGAAGGAGATTGAAGTAACTGATAGTAAGAATATGTAAGAATAATATAGTGATGGAACATAGTGATGGAACATATTGCTGGAACATAGTGATGGGATATTATATTGATGGAACATCGTGATGGGATATTATATTGATGGAACATATTGATGAAATATAGTGATGGAACATATTGATGGAACATAGTGATGGGATATTTTATTGATGGAACATATTGATGAAATATAGTGATGGAACATATTGATGGAACATAGTGATGGGATATTATATTGATGGGATATTACATTGATGGGATATTATATTGATGGGATATTATATTGATGGAACATATTGATGGGATATTATATTGATGGAACATATTGATGGAACATATTCATGGAACATATTCATGGAACATAGTGATGGGATATTATATTGATGGAACATATTGATGGGATATTTTATTGATGGAACATATTGATGAAATATAGTGATGGAACATATTGATGGAACATCGTGACGGGATATTATATTGATGGAACATCGTGATGGGATATTATATTGATGGAACATAGTGATGGGATATTTTATTGATGGAGCATATTGATGAAATATAGTGATGGAACATATTGATGGAACATAGTGATGGGATATTATATTGATGGGTTATTATATTGATGGGATATTTTATTGATGGAACATAGTGATGGGATATTTTATTGATGGAACATATTGATGAAATATAGTGATGGAACATATTGATGGAACATAGTAATGGGATATTATATTGATGGGATATTACATTGATGGGATATTATATTGAGGGGATATTATATTGATGGAACATAGTGATGGGATATTTTATTGATGGAACATATTGATGAAATATAGTGATGAAACATATTGATGGAACATAGTGATGGGATATTTTATTGATGGAACATATTGATGAAATATAGTGATGGAACATATTGATGGAACATAGTGATGGGATATTTTATTGATGGAACATATTGATGAAATATAGTGATGGAACATATTGATGGAACATCGTGATGGGATATTATATTGATGGAACATCGTGATGGGATATTATGTTGATGGAACATAGTGATGGAACATCGTGATGGGATATTATATTGATGGAACATGATGGAACATAGTGATGCAACATAGTGATGGGATATTATATTGATGGAACATAGTGATGGAAAATCGTGATGGGATATTATATTGATGGAACATAATGGAACATAGTGATGGAACATAGTGATGGAACATAGTGATGGGATATTATATTGATGGAACATAGTGATGGAACATCGTGATAAGATCTTATATTGATGGAACATAGTGATGGAACATATTGATGGAACATAGTGATAGAACATATTGATGGGACATAGTGATGGAACATCGTGATGGGATATTACACTGATGAAACATGATGGAACATAGTGATGGAACATAGTGATGGGATATTATATTGATGGAACATAGTGATGGAACATAGTGATGGGATATTATATTGATGGGATATTATATTGCTGGAACATAGTGATGGAACATAGTGATGGGATATTATATTGATGGGATATTATATTAATGGAACATATTGATGGAACATAGTGATGGGATATTATATTGATGGGATATTATATTGCTGGAACATAGTGATGCAACCTAGTGATGGGATATTATTTTGATGGGATATTATATTGATGGAACATATTGATGGAACATAGTGATGGGATATTATATTGATGGGATATTATATTGCTGCAACATAGTGATGG